GGGACACGATTCCGAAAAATCACACAATAATATTGAGAGGGCATTTTATTGTGTAGCTGTATACTAACGGTGTGTTTCACATATTTCAGGATGGACCCAGAATTGTGTGTAAATAGAGGACACAAGACCGAAAATCACACATTGAGTAAGGTATGCTGATTGTGTTTTCAGGGAGGGGGGGGGGGTGGCACGGTCCGGTTGCGCCTCTAATGCCGCCACATGTTATAATGGCTATAGTTTGACGAGGGATCGAGAGCTTTCTATAGTTTGACTCGCTAATTAACTACATGAGATGTTGTTATGCTGTTTATCCTTTCAGATGGCAGAACGTGTTGCTTAGAGCGACGGGAGCACAATGGCAAGGGATTGAGAAATCAACTCCATAGTATATTGCCTGTATAAATCATGTTCGAATGACGTAGAATGCGTTATTATTTATCACGTACGCACATTTCAATTGATGATGGACAAGGACATTGAAATCGACTCAGGTTGATATTTAGATTTTTGTTTGCGATCGTGCAATGAATCAATTTTGTGACAATAAATGAATCGGGACCTTAATTCAGTCGAGATTCATTAGAACAAAGCTTTTCATTTTTTTATTTAAAGTCTCGCTAAATAGTTTCGCTTCACCTCGATACACTAATATGAGGATATGATCGGTCATCTCGTAGCCCAAAATTATCCTGTTTCCAAAATAATGTTGAAAGTGAGTAAAGCGAACGAGCGTGGTAAAAATGTAATTTCTAAATACAACATATAAGATAAAAAATATTCTGGCACTTAGCTGTGAAATAGGACATTCGGGCACCTCGTTGCCCAAATATTATTAAAACAAATATTATATATCTTTCTAAATAATAACTATAATCACATTTGTATAGCAATTGATATTACGTTTCTTTGCGTTTTAAATTGTATATAATTGTTGCGAGCGAGCAAGGAAGAAAGACACTTGAATCTATTAAAAATATCAAAAATGATTTGAATCTGAAATTACAGAGTCAAGCGATTTTTAATATTGGGTTTTCACAAAATCGACGTTATTCCTGAAAAGGAAAATGAGGAAGACGGAAGAAGAATAAAGAAAAAGAAGAGAAAAAAAAAAGATAAAGAAAGCGCGGAGAAGGAGAATTCAAGAGAATACGATTTGGCTATATATACATCGCTTGTCAAGCAAACTCAGGCATGTAACCCGGCTTTGTAAGGGGTCAAATATATGAAAAATAAATTTGATTATCGTTGAATAAATATTGAAAATATTGCCAAATTCATTTCCAGACGGCTTTTAAGCGCAAATAAGTTGTGGTTTCATGCATAATGTCCATCGTAATGGCTGCAATGTATTGACAAAAAAAGATGATCACAGAGATGGAAATCCTCTCTTGACCGTGGGCGTACCTGGAATAAAAGTATAGCCCCTCGTGCCATACACTGCAAGTTTGAGTCATTGATTGATGATCCATAGATAGATAATACAAGTTATGGTTGTTTTGTATATAGTTTGAATAATAGGCGCCTTGAGCATTTCCTTGGTATTGATATCAGCGTTAAATAACCCATCGTGGCATCGTCGCTATATTATTATCATAATTATCAAGTACTTATTTATTATCATTGTCTACGTCTCTAATTATACATTACATCGGGTATTCGGTTATACCCGATGAAAAGAAACATAAATCCTGGAAGAATACAAACGTTGCATGTACATTGAATTGAAGAATATCCTAACCCCTTAACATTACTAAAAAACATCAGAATCAACAATCCCTCGATCCTGAACCTGAAATTCTGAAAACGTTTATAAAGGTGACCCCGTAGCTTTGTTACCTTCAACACGCACCTATACCATGAGTCAATACCATGAGAAAAAAATTAAAAATGGTCGTAGAAATGAAGAAAAAAGCGCTCAGCCAAACGCATAATACAATGTCTTACTTGGCTTTTATATCATTTTCTTTCTTATCGCTTGTACGATTAACCACCTTTTTCATCCCTCGTAATTAATCTTGCCTCTTCCAATCAATTCTAAATGCGTGTTGGTACGAGGAAAGGCCAGAAACTATTTGGCAGCCATGAAACTGCGTATAATATAGCTGGACATTTCAACGAATTCATTATTGATGGTGGTTTGATTGCAATTTTCTTACTCTAATTTCACAGATATTAACAGCTTTTCAGCGACCCAGTTATATACCACAAAAATTGTACTCTAGCCTGTCAAAAGGTCGGAAATAAAGCTTAGTGAGTGAAGTTAAAAAGCTTTGTTCCTACAATTTATGATAGTGTATAGTTTGAAACTGTCATCGCTACAGTTTATGCCTTTGAATTTGTTCAACATAAGTCAATATGGGCGACTCAACTTCACAGGTTTTTCGCAACCTTCATGGAAAGCCCCGCATATAACCTCTGTAAATATAGTTAAAATTTACTATTACTTTGTATACTTTGATTTTCATATTGCGAAATCAATTGAATTGAATTGAATTGAAGTCAGGCTGTACAATGTCATTTTTACTTCGGCCAGTTTATTTTCCATTCTTATTCTTTTTTATAATTATCATTATTATTATCATTTATTTTTGATTTATTACAATAATTATTCTTATGCTCTGACACTTTGTTTCTCGTAAGAAATATGTTTGCCTGTGACATATTCATGTTGTTTGAAGATGGGTGGGATGGTAAATAAAGTTATTAGCAATACGCCGAGCTACTTCAATGAGGGGGCTTCGTTGTCATGGAGGCACCGTATTTCCTTTCCATATCAGAGAACAAAATGGAGGTAAAAGGGGGCGTGGAAGGGTGGTATCATCTTTTCCCTTTATTTTATTGTTTCTTCTTTTTTTGTTGCTATTTTCGTTTCGTCATGGGGGGGGGGGGTATCGCGGACCTACGCATCTTAATGCCCTCCTCTCTCTCTCTTTCTCCCTTCTCTCTGTCCCTCTCTCCCTCACCAAGAACTATATCTGATCTGTAATTGATCGACAGTATTATTTTTAATGTAGAGTGTCTGTCAACTTTGATTTAATCCTTTGTATGCAAACTCTGTTTGCGTGTGGTGCATCCAATAAGTCATCATGGCAAAACTTTTTGTTCTGGCTATCATCATATTGACATCGTTATAAATATATCTGTTATAAATACATAATCTCTCCAATTCATAGTTTTCATCGTAGTCACCAGCGGACATAGTCATAGGATATTCATTTTGGATTCATAAATTACATGTTTGCCATAATTACTTAACCTTTTTTTTTGTCCCAATTTCCACAACGTTCTCTCCGTCTTCCTCCATTTATTCTTTATGGCCCTACGTGACTGTTGCTTTTGCTTTCACATTACGTGTTACGATGGTAACTTAAGTGTTTTTAGCTTATTTTCTATATATTGTTGTGTTATGGTTGTAAATTTGTAAGTGTTATATTACTTTTGTTTATATGTCATGATTATGTTGCTTTTTATCAACACGGCCTTGATTGAAACCAGTCTGCGAACTGTATCGGGCTTTTACCGTGTATAAATAAAATAAACTCAAACTCAACTCAACTCAACTGGCCAAACCCAAGGTATTTTCAAATTAGACAAAATATAATAGAGTCTTGAAATTTTTAAACTTCGATAATCATAACTTAATTTCCTTTATATTTGATCTGAGCCAGTGGCAGGGTTATTTTTGACGTAATTGGTAACGTCAGGTGGGAAAAAACATTAGCCTTGTCAAGAAATGCCAGCAAAAAGACAATTATAACACTTATGTACTAGGATGTTTATTATTGATTTGTTTTCAAATGTAAACAGTGACAGAGAATGAATTGTAAACAGACAAAGACATGTACATCTAGAAAAACTATCATACGCTATTCGTCACTTCGGTCATAAAAATCTATATTATTTTTTAATTGGATTTTTACAAACTTTTATCAATCAGATATGATTATTTACGTCTTATTGGGGACTTATCTTAAGCGTACGTCGCCATTCGAAAGACGTGATCCAGTCTCGAACGCCTGAGCCAGTTTGTAGACCAAGTGAACGGGCCGCTAGACCAACTCACATCTCTCTCTCTCTCTCTCTCACTCTCTCGCGCGCGCTCCCCCTCTCTCTCTCTCTCTCTCTCTCTCTCTCTCTCTATATATATATGTAGGCTCATTGTCTTTCTAATGACAATGCTGATCATGCAACAGGCCTACATTTTCAAACACCAGACAATGGATGAACCTTCTGATTATGATCCCTCCCGTTGTCTTAATTTCTTTACTTCATGCTGACCTCTGAGAACTGAGATTTGCCTTGCAGTAGTTACTTATTACAATGACCGGACGATCAGATTTTAATTATGAAGGTCACCCTCCCACCTCAAAAAGACGGCAAATAAAGTAAGATTGATTACATTCTGTGCCAGGGAGGAATGAAGGTGCTCCACTGACCTGACTCGATAAGTAGAGGAAATTCTATTGCTTAAGAAAAGACTTCATCCAAGCAATTCGTTCAAAATCATCACTGATTAATAAGCAATGAAAAAAATTACGAAAGCTTCGATGAGAGTGACCGATGGAAACGTATTGGATTGGATTCAGGTGGTTAGAATAGAAGGTGAATTAACCACAATTTTCCACATAGGAAGGCATTACCACCTACTTTTCTTTGGTAGGTCAAGAACTTTAATGAGCCTTTGGAATCATTCTGAAGTTCTTTGTGTCTTGCTTGCCCAGTTTCACAATCGTTCCACCGTAGATGAATTTCGCGAAAATTGAAGAAAAAAATACTTGATGTGATGAGGTAATGATAGTCATTGGCACCCGATTTATTATGAGTAGATAAGTAAGTATAGGCATTAATTCATTTACAGGGTGGAAGAGTGCACTTAAGAAGAAAAAATGTCTCAATATTCCTCTATCACAATATATATGTAATACAATTAAACATTCATTTTCGACTGTCATTTAACAAACATTTTTGTCCTTTATTTCAGAATGATTGGCTGAACAACCATGGCTACAACTGAAATCATAACCTGGTTCTCTACTATGAACGATACGACACAAATCCCTCCAACAGAACCTGCCACTACTCACAAGGCACAGAGGACTGCCGTGGCTTGCCTCTTCTGCATCATTGGCGGCATCGGGTTAACCGGCAACAGCCTCGTCGTCCTCGCCGTCGCAATGTCGCGACGACTTCAGACACCCACCAACGTGTTCGTCGTCAGTCTCAGCTTATCCGATTTCCTCACGTGTCTCGGACTGCCGTTCCAAGCCGTTGCGATCCTCAGCGAGCATGGATGGCCTTTGAACAGTGGCCTTTGCGCAATGGTCGGTGGGTCGGCCATCCTGTCCCTCACCTGCGGGGTCCTCTCTCTAGCTCTCATTGCTATAAACCGTTTCACTCTCATCACCCGCTCAAAGAGAACATACATCAGGGTATTCTCCAAGAAACGCAACTTGCTTTACGCAGTGATATCTTGGGTCGTCCCTCTTTTTGCTTTCGTAGTTCCACAACTCGTTGGGTTCGGAAGGCTCGGTTACGATCCGTACTTCAGATTATGCGTGTGGGACACATCGGATGACCATGCGCACATCTACGAGATCCTTGCTGCCATCACCATCTTCATCGCAACCACCATCATAACCACATCTTACATCACAATTTATATTTTTATTCGGTTACATGTATCTGTCATGAAGAACCATGTTAATGGTAGCCGAGCTGGGCCATCAGGGAAGGTCAACCAAGTCGAAGCGGTAGCACATAGCTTAAACCATACCAACAACGATGTTAACACCATGGAAACAGGCGCACCTGCAGGGGGTCGGCACAAGATCAAAGTCACCAAGAGAGAGATCGATATCACCAAGAATCTCTTCTACATTGTCTGTTTCTTCTTCCTCTGCATCATACCCTACGGATTTGCTCTGGCCCTTAACAACCTTGGGGTGTACCCGTGGTACGCAGGAATCATGTTTGTGGCTAATAGTGCCATTAATCCTTTCATATACGCCAGTAAGCATCCTGTCTTTAATGAGGTACTCAGGTGCATGCTGACTTTCCGACTTTCAGCCATTCCTGAGCCGTTACCATGGGTACGTTCGCTCCTTGGCGCGATACCTGAACATTAACTTCATATTATTAGATCAGCATGATCACGCGATCTTAATTATGCCATTAGAGCGCATCACCACATGTGTCCATATTTGCTGCAACATGAAAGAGGGAAAGAAGAAAACGAGAAACGAAAACCATATAAGACATGATATTGTATGAGAGTGCGAATGCTCATTAGTTGTCTTTGGCATGTTATGTCATATCTGTTAACATCGGAGAGCAATTTTGACATGTCTAAACAGAATTGCGTTTTAAAGTCGTCGACGGAATCAAAAGGTTTTGATAACTTCTATATTCTAGTGCACCGTGAACTCCAAATATCAGTGCTGGATTTAAAAATGGCGAAATCTTATTTCACTTAGCATCGCTTCGCCTATGATACTATCATTTTCGGTAAACGGTTATGTAGGCCTATATCATATAACATCTGTTGAGCGATACTGGCAGTGCAAAAATCCGCCCGGATGTCGTTTTAAACATCTCAACCAAAGATGTGAATTGTCCAAACTTTGGCAATTGATACTTGCATCATATTAGGTACTATACAGTAAGCTTGCGTCTGCCTCCTATGAGAGAAGGGGGGGGGGGATTGGGGAGTCCTGAAAAGGACTCTCGTAAGTACTGTTTTTAAGTTATTTAAGTGGAAGTGAAATTAGATAGAGTTTGCCAGAGTTATCCTGCATGTGCTTTAAAATATTGGATCGCAGGAAAGGAAACGCCCATGTTCTTGGGTTATTAAGGATGTGATTCTTGTTTCTTGTTTTCATACGTCAGCTAGTAATGGCACGGTGTCAAAAGTCTACTGCTAATGTAATTCTGGGAAGCACTTGTTTTGTCCGAAGGCAAGATTTGAAACACAAATTTCCCATACCAGTTGCTTCATAATTCTGAAAATGAAATAGGATTCGATATTTCGAATAGTCATAATTCCTTTAAAAAAACTTCCAGGGGTCACTGTCATTTTCGGAATTTTGAGCCTTTGAAATTATGAACCCTGTTTCATTATCGGAAATATAGGCCCGACGAAACTGCGGAATGATGAACCTTCAGAAAAACGACATGTTATCGTATTTTTTGGGGGTAGAAATATCAATTCTTGTGTTTGATGTCATAACACTTTTTCCTAGTCATATTCGCAACAGAGAACTCACCCCTGGAAAGAAGAAACGTTGAAATAAAGCACAACTTAGAAGTCCTTTGCCATTACAGATCATTGGACAAAATGCACGAGATCACTACTCTTTTTATATAATTATGTGAATATGATGACAATAATGCTATTTCCAATGATATTTACACTCTACTGCAATTTAAAGGAATACTATAATAATATGTTTAAGTTCGATATTAAATCCATTAGATCGTAACATATATTATTTTCGTAAAAAACATAAATTTAAGAGGAAAAGTGCTCGCAACGTCTACGTTTAGCTTTTATCTCTTTTGCCTCGATCTCTTTTATCTTTGAACCCTCTCTCTCTGCTTCTATTTTCACTTTTCTTCGACTTCCAGCGGCCTCTCCTCCATTCATCTCTAACTTTGACATCCGGACCCCGGATGCTAATTGTATAGAACGAAGTCAATTGACTCACTGTGCTGTCTCTATTGTGAATTGTTGAACTTCGTCTGCACATTATATCAATACAGTGCGTAGCCTCACTTACTAAATTGTCCACCATCCTCCCATATTTAACTTGTGTTAATGATTCACTAAAGTTCTTTTCTTCTTTTCTCTCCGCCTTCTCTTTACTTCCACCCTTTCTCTCTCTCTCTCTCTCTCTCTCTCTCTCTCTCTCTCTCTCTCTCTCTCTCTCTATCTCTCTCTCTCTCTCTCTCTCTCTCTTTCTCAATGAAGTGGCAGTGGCAAGTGGGAATTTTTGCGATGTCCCTTCCCATTTGCTATGTATACTACAACAAAATCAGAAATATCTATTTTCCCTCAAAAAAAATTCCAATCATACGTGCACCCTAAATATAATTATTGCAAAAATGTTTCTATACAACCCCTATATGTAAAAAAAGAAAATCTATTCCGTCATCAATAACTAAGAAAATGAAAGTTCATGGAATCTGATGTACCGAGCAAACTGGAGACGAGCTTGTATAGATACGTCACAGTGTTGCCAATTAGAGTTTGATTGATCACAAATTCAACATTTCATAACTTTCTCACCTTTATTCGGAATTTGCTCAAACATTACGACCTCATCTCATTTTCCTGCATCTTTTAAAACCAATTTAATATCAGGGTGGATTTTCCTTTTAATGCTGACAGTTTGGATTTCAGCAAACGAGACTGAAAATGTCTCACTCTGATTTTCTGTATATTGCCTGGTCTATGGTTTTCTTTTCTATTATTCTAAATCACTTCATTTGAATCACTTTCGATACAAGTTGGTAATTATTCACTGCTATATCCTTAACTGCTTAATTGTTGTGTTCTATCTTTTCCATCTCATGTATACTATTACGTTCTTTAAAAAAAAAATTATGTTGAACCTTCTGAGTAAAAATTTTAGCCTTATGCACCAGCCATCAGGTGTACATTTTCAAATTATATGGTGCTTTGAATGTTATCAATGTTATCATGATGCTATGAGTTATCATGTAAGTTATGATAATGTTAAAACGAATGTTGTTGTTTTGTATTTAAACTGGGATCATGAACACTTAGCGCTTCAGCCGTCTGATAAATTTATCGGTGACGGACAAAATCTAAGAAATAAAATCTTGAAAATGCAAAAAGTTCTAGCAGGAATGTTGATAGTAGGCAGGGGCGGCGATCCCGGGGGGGGGGGGGGGGGGGGGGGACGGGGGACACGTTCCCCCTCGATTTTTGTAGGAGGGGATCGTCCCCCCGGAAAATTTGAAAAAGTGCAAAAAAATAATGTACAGCAAAAACTGACTAAAGACTTCAACACACTATTAGGCTTTGGAGGGCCCAAGAGTGCAGCGTTTAGACAAATAAAAATGCAATCTCCTATGCTCCCTCGCATAATATCCTTCAAAATGTACAAGTAAATATTGTAGAAAAGTGAAGTGTGAAAAAGGTACATTGTTTGTTTTCATACTATAGTTTTGCCAAGGAATATAATTTTGTAATACAACAAAACTTCAAAACCTGTGAGGGGGTACTCACTTTCGTCCCCTTCACCCCTCTCATTCACTATGCTCACTCACTCGGGCCTGGGGCAGTCCCCCATCCCCCTCCCGATAAAATTCGAACGTGGTTTATTTCTAATTCGATACCAGTGAATAATTTACAAATGTTGCTGAAATGGCATGGTAATTCCCTGAGCTTCCGGGGGCTCTGTCCCCTGTACCCCACCAAGGGCCCTAAGGTCGGCCCCTGGTTGCTCAGCTGACCATAAATAAATGCCTCAAACACCTGAGCTTCCGGGGGCTCCGCCCCTGGACCACACCAGGGCCCTAAGCGGGCCACTGGATGCTCATCTGACCATATTCAAAAGCCTAAAACCCTGAGCTTCCGGGGGCTACGCCCCTAGATCACACCAAGGGCCTAAGGCGGCCCCTGGATGCTCACCTGATCGTAATTTAATGCCTAAAACCGCTGAGCTTCTGGGGGCTTCGCCCCCTGCAGAGCCCACTCCGATTAGTGACCTCCATGCAAGTGTCATAATTAAGGTACCAAAATATGCTCATCTGACCCTTATTAATTGCCTAAAAACTCTAAGCCTCATGGGGTTCCGCCCCTTGACCCCCGCCGGGGCTTTGCCCCTGGACCCCACGCCAATTTACGCCCCACTTGCTTTGATCTATCTGTTCGCAAATACTTTAGCCCCCCCACTCCCACGTTGAAAAACGTTCCGCGGGGCCTGCATGTAACATGTAAGAGCGGTGATGATGCGGATTTTTTTTCTACCCCCCCCCCCCCCAAAAAAAAAAAAAAAAAAATTGTTTTTGTTTATTACGTCACTCCTCCCTCGTTTCTCGCATTACATCCCCCCCCCCCCCCCGGTCATGAAAAGAAATCGCCGCCCCTGATAGTAGGTGTATCCCGAAAAAATAAGAAAATCATTTCTCTAATCTGCAATTCGGCTAAATAACTACCTGCACCCGTTAGCAAATTCAACTGATTTATAAGGCCCTGTTACTTGCCAGCAATCTAAAAAGCAAGGAAACTTGTCATTGATTACGAGCAAATGTTGACAAACAATGGTCCACTTTTATTCGCTTGTTCGGGAGACATAATATTTCTGCCAACTGCATGGATCCAACATTCCATATCCCAATAACATCTTTTCAAATTGTTAGGACGACTCTCCTGTTTATCGCAAGTTGACGTAAAGAAGAAAGTAACACACGAGGCTGATTGAAAAGGGTTGCTAGGTAACTACATCTTTCAGTGCAAAATTAATTCCCCCTTTGATATGGGACGTAACTATGTGTCGATCCGTGATGATGCGTGAAGTAATAATATGATTGCAGGGCCCTCAGGGAGAACAGTATGAATACTGATGAGGCTACCCTGGGTGAACAAGACATATTATTATTATTATTATTATTAACGATTCCATGCGGGATGTAAATATCATTGTAGGATTTAATGAGCAATACTAACATCCATGGGTGTCACGCATGCATTAGGATGTGTCCCGACAGCGGGAAGCCAAAGATTCAGGATCTTATCTTATTAAGTAATTAAGTATGGGCGTTGTCCGACCGTATTTTATTGGGGGGGGGGCGGGGGGTATCTGACCGAGTTACGACCAACTAACTGCAAAATCCAACAAATAATAGTCAACCAAACATGCAAGCAAACTGAAAATTAAGAAATGAAGATATCGTCTATGAACAAAGTAATACAAGAGATAAAAAGAAATGTACAACCAAAACGAAAGAAAGGAAATAATCATTACGTGTCATTCCATATTCAGATTATGACACGAGCTTCACAACGAACGAGATGACTAAGTGTATTGTTTATCAGGTAGGCCTACACATGGCTCATGATTATTTTGTACCATTTCTTCAAATCTGACATTAAAGGGTAAGTCCACCTTGATATTAAGTTGGTTTTAATAGACTGAGCAGAAAAACGAGAGGGGCAGTTCAGTGGAAGCTCGGGCAAATTCCGATTAAGAATAAGAAAGTTATGATTTTTTTAAGTTGAGATCAATCAAACACAAATTTACATCTCTGTGACGTATCTTGCGAGTTGCTCTCCTATTTGCTCTGTACTAAAATATTAGGAATATGTTTCCATCAAATTCCTGTATGAAATAAATATATTCAGTCATCAATAACGAAGACATTAAAAGTTCATTAAATTCATCAAATGTTATGTACAGGTCAAATGGGAGAGGAGCTCGTGAGATACGTCACAGTGCTGCCAAGTTTTATTCAATTGATTGATAGTAACTTCAACAATTCATAACTTTTTAATTATTTTTATTAATTGGAATTTGCTAAAACTCTCACGGACCTGTTTCTCTAATTTTCTGCTTCTATTAAAATCAACAGGGTAGGCTTGCCCTGTATGTGATAATAATTATAAAGATATAGTAGGGAACAATTAAATAGTTTGTGAATGGAAGGTGAAAATTGTTCTTGTACATGTATAGAGTGGCGTAGCAGAGTCAACCCATTTAGGGGCGTTAGAATAAGGCCTTAAAAATGATGTTGTATTGCCCTTCGCGACCGGCCGCAAAATCTTGAAATCTACGGTCGGCTTTTTAACAAAGTTTTTTTTAAAACCATTTTTTAGAAGAAAAAAAATGTAAAAAAGCATTCAAAACTGAAAAATATAAGCCTAAAGAGGGAGTTTAAAAAAGATAAAAGTTAAAAAAAAAAAAGAAGAAGGATGTTTTGCCATGTTTTGGCACCTAAAGGGCAATACAACATCTTTTGATTTTATTTTAAGGCCTAAGGGGGGGGGGGCATTGATCTTTCTCAGAAAATGAAATGGCAAATTCCAAGGCTTATTAGAGGGCGGGTGCGGGCAATGTTCCAGGCATCTCCTTTTCTCATTATTTCCCCCTCCTTATTTCCCCCTTTCTCTCTTGTTTGGCCTCCCCCAATATCTGATTGGGAGGTCACTCCTATGGCTATACCAATGTCTGTACATACTAAGTTATAGAAGTTACATCATTATCCTACAGTGATAACACTGTACAGAAAATATTTATTTTTTATATTCGATGTACATGTAGTTAAAAGAATCTCGTGGGTTTTTTTCGGAAAAACTTTGAATGCTGTTCAATTTCATGATTTTGCTGTCTTATTTATCATGTCTACAGTGAAATTATTGTGTATTTTAATTTTCGATTGTGACTTAATTCATAAAGTGCGTTGTAAGAAGCAAAGTTGTGATAAATAAAACGAAGACTGTCGAAATGTGTAAATATTTTTGTAATTTTGTGATGACCAGGATGATCTCGGATAATGAGCTTTGGCGAAATCATATGGGTATGTGCAGCGATTTCTTTTTGTTTTCCTCACAAAAACTGAATATATTAGCTAATGAATATTAGTGAGACTGAATTAACTTTCAAACCACTTTGAAAGCATCGTTTAGAGAGATACAAATTACACCAAAAAAAAAATCTCAATTTTTATCATCCACTGTTTTTATTCTTCCGCTAGTTATTTTGTCTTGAAAAAATTGGTACACTTCAATTTATTTACAAATTAATACAAAATTATCTTTGAATAATGTTTTTAAAGCTAATAATGTCACGAAAGAGTGAGTCGTAATTAAACCACGGAATCTCGGGAATGAGGGGGCGGGGGCGGGGCAACAAAAATAAGAAACGAAGGATAGGAAAATGATATAACCTTAATCGTAGAGGGGTAAGACACTTGACATTTTCAGCACATATTCACTTTTCCAAAGCCCTCTGAACTACATATTATTTTGGATGGAAAGATGGTTAGATATAGATAAATAGAAAGAGAGGGAGGGAGAGAGAGAGAGAGAGAGAGAGAGAGAGAGAGAGAGAGAGAGAGAGAGAGAGAGAGAGAGAGAGAGAGAGAGAGAGAGAGATAGACAGATAGAGAGAGAGATAGAGAGAGAGAGATAAAGAGAGAGGGAGAGAGAGAGAGAAAAAGAGAGAGAGAGATAGATAGATAGAGATAGAGAAAGAGATATAGAAAGAGAAAAGGTGATAGGAGGGGGAGAAAGAGAGTGAGAGGAAGAGAGAGAGAGAGAGAGAGAGAGAGATAAAGAGAGAGGGAGAGAGAGAGAGAGAAAGAGAGAGAGAGAGAGATAGATAGAGATAGAAAAAGAGAAATAGACAGAGAGAGAGAGAGAGAAAGAGAGATAGAGAGAGAGAGAGAGAGAGATAAAGAGAGAGAAAGAGAGAGGGAGAGAGAAAGAGAGATAGATAGACAGATAGAGATAGATAGATAGAGATAGAGAAAGAGATATAGAAAGAGAAAGAGTGATAGGGAGAGAGAGAGGAAGAGAGAGAGAGAGAGAGAGAGAGAGTGGGGGAGGGTGCTAATTAAGTTTGCCACCCCCCCCCCCTGCGAATGATTTTAGTCTAGGCCTTAGCCACTTGTTTTTTTCGATGGAAAGGGGTGTTCTGCTGGTCCCTGTCTCACCTGTATACAAAAAAAAATGTCTTACTAAAAAAATTATTATCTGGACGTGTGGCCCTGCCATAGCATCATTGATGCTTGGATGCTTGAATTTCACAGGAGGTAGTTTTCGAATAGAATAGTTGTCCGAAGTAGCTAGGGCTATATTGTCAAATGAAATAGGGAGTGTCCAGGGGAAGGTCCTTTTGGTTTCAGGACAATTTAGAGCAGCTATTTTTGTCTTCTTCTTTTTCTTTAAATTATATTTTATTCCATTTGTGGATGGGTGCACTGAACATCAACAATACGCATTGTCGTGACTAACCGATACCCGCGATTGCAGTGAACGATCAACATCTTGGGCTGATGATATTTCCGGCTTCCCAGTAGTCAGTTCAATCAAAATCCACCTTTTAGAACTCATACTAAAGGTAAGAGTTGAAATCATTATTATATTTCGATATTTTTAATAATATGTGAATCATTTTAATGTTGCCTGTATTGTTTTGTGGTAGCATTATCGTGAAACATGCAATGTAATTTTCTATATCAGGTAGAAAAGGGTTAGCCTGGTCCCATGTGCTTGATTTTCTGTGCTGTAAAGTGGGTGCCTTTATTATGACTGATGTGCATGCGTGACCAAAATTACCAAAATTAAATTCTTAGCCATTGCGGAAGGGAAGGTCCTTCCAAAAAGTGACTTGTTATTAAATATATCTGCCACTGCCATTGTAAAAAAGGTTATTGTTGTCGTGTTGTGAAGAAATTGTCTTTGTGATGGCTTAGGCCTAGACCTGGCCTTGACTTGGTCTGGCCTCGAATCTCGGCGAACAAAATTTTGAAAATTAAAATATTGACAGTAGAGGCGCTGGTCTAAAAATAAGGATCATCCGCATAAAATAAGATTGTCGTCGTAAACGCTGACATATGCCTTAAGGCTGTGCACAACAGTGTAATAAGGTACCTGAGTACACTCCCAGGCTCACAAGCGAATACTCGAATATTCGGACGCCATGTTTTTTTATAAATTTTAAAAAAAAATTTGATTTTTTAAAAATGTTTTGATTTTTTTGATTTTTGATTTTTTTTGCCACTACCATACCGCTCGGCAGTTTCCCAGGTCCCTCACCAAAAAATGCATGCAATTTTACTTCGAGTTGCAGTTGAAGGCGCCGATTTAATAAGAATAATAACAGTAAACAATGCTGTTTTAAAAACCAAAGATGGCAGAATAATCCATTTTCCTCCAAGTCCAAACAGAAATCTGGACATTTGGTCCCAGTTTCTGAAAGGTGAGTTTGGAAACATGCCAGCGGCTGCCGCTCTCCCTGGCACGGATAAGCGTGGGCCTGGACATTTTTTTTTTTTTTTTTTTTGCGGCCGAATATTCGGGTACGAGAAATTGTACCCGAGTAGTTGTCAACCGTGCGGGTACTCGAGCATTCGACTACCTGTCGCAGCCTTAATATGCGTCCTCAAGAATAAGGATTGTCCACTTTTTTGCGGACGATTCTTATATCCGATCCGCGCGTTAGCAAAGTGAAAAACGGATACTGTAATGATTTTCTTGATGCATTTCACATTGACTTTGTACAGAGACTTTCATGTTGTGAGTGATAAATCCTTGAGAAGACGGAGAACTCATAAAAAAGAAGGTGAACTGGGGGTATTTCATTATGCGGAATCCGTTTTTTTGGATTGCCAGCGCACAGATCGGGGAACCCTACACCCGCAGAGCGCCAAAGAAAAAAAGATACACATTTTTTAGAACCTGATTTGTTCGCATTTATGAAGACATCCTTGTTTACGCGGATTTTTTCCACAAAAGTATGTCATCTTCAGAAAATATAAAACCAAGATACAAAAAAATATGTTACTACATATTTTTATACACAATATTACTACATGTATACACAATATAACATAAATTTTTGACCACAGTCGAATTAGTTTTGTGATTTCCATACAATAGATTACAGTAAGTGTTATCATGCAATTGTTTTGTACTTGCCTCAAACACTTGTGAGACTGGACCACTCAAAAATTAAAATGTGCAAAAGCTTCTGGTTTCGGTAGATGTTTGTAGAACTTGTTTTCAAATGTGCATGTAGTAACTTCACTCTACTATCCTGGTGATGGATGAGTTAGCCATCTATCTAACTTTCTAATCAAGGTCACTGTCCATGTACTGTAGTACTGTTATGTGTTCCTCATACTAACTTGTAATTTTATGTGTAAAAGAATATATCACATTTTGTGGATTTTCTGCTGAATGACACCAGTGGTACCCTCAGAAAAGCCTGTACATATCAATTCTTTGTTGACAATAGGCTATCTTTATTTTAGGAATCGTGAGGATTTATTTCAAGATTAATTATTCTTTCTAGTAATTAGGAAGAAATGGATGTACATGTACATGCAATTTTCCACATACACTGATGCTAATCCTTAATTCCTCATCCTTAATTCCTCATCACTCAGATTTTGCAGCCACAAGAAGACCATTTCATGGCTGTGAAATGTTTAAAAACAATGATAATGTAATGGACTTGAGTCAGACTGCATTCAAAGTAATCTTTCCATAGAGAAAAGTGTACAAATTAATGTAGTCATTTTCTGTGATGTTTCAAACTATATAATACCTCGTGTGAAATGTCTCAGTTAGCAACGTCAGTTTTCAGTCATAGAATTAAAAAATATTATGAAACTTTTATCTCAGAAAATGTCTATATTTATGTCTGACCAATTTATGAGTATGGCAATCATTAAGTCACAAAAAGAAGACGCAAACAAATATCACAATTATAACATATAATTTAATGACGATAGTCACATCTGTATAGCGCTTAATAATGCTGTGTTCATACAGTTAAAAGTGCTTTACATTGCAATTATGATTATGCCTGTCATTAGATTCAATTGCTATTCTACACATGGTAGTTCACATGCTCCGCACCCTGGGGAGTATATAAAATGATACATATTAAACTTACAGGAAGTCTTGAAGGAAGTAAGAGAAAAGCAAAAATAATATTGTTGCCGATTTAGGAGTGCCAATGCTTATCTTTTGAGTTATTTATCCAATTCTTTTCCTCTTCAGTATGGGTTACTGACTGGTTACTACATCATTATCTGTGGATTGGAAAAGAGCCTTGAATTAAACAAAATGAGACAAAAACAAACAAACAAATACAAATTCAATATACCCTTGACCACATATTCCATGTCTCATTTTCTCTTTTTCTCAAAGGTACATGTACCAGTTTTTATTGAGGATTATTAAAATAAATAATGCTTATTGGGAAATATTCAACATCTCTGCTACAAGCTAATTCTTCTTGAATTTACAGATAAAATACAACTTCTGAAATACATGTACAAGTACAATCTAAAAGAAGAAAATATTAACAGAGGAATACCATACTAGTTGTGACAAATTTACATACACCCTGTACCGGTCTTAATTGGGTCATTAAGGCAATCAATAAGGATACATGTACATGGTGAAATGCCTCATTTATTTAATCAGGGAAAGGCTTTCGGTGACCACATGCACAATCTGTTCTTCTCGCTCTTTACTTCCTTATTGCCTGTACAGTACATGTACTTTTTTCCCAGTTTCTTATCTGTAATTACAGACATATGAAACTAAACTTGTAAGGTGCTGATGAATGGCAGATACTGTGTACGGAGTCAATACCAAAGGCTGTGAATTCAGTGCGAAACTATGCAGTGATTAAAAGGAAGAAGATTTAGCTGAATAATACAGAATCACACAGGTGCACATATGCCCACTCATTAGGCTCTTCACATTTGAAAATCTCTATGCCCATGATGAATTAAATTTAGCTGAACAGCTTGCTCATAATAAAAATCCATGCTTTTAAAGGTAAAGACCAGTATTGGAAACGCCCCAATTTCAAAAAATGAAATGGAAGCTCTCATTACCAATCATGTGAAAGAATATGTTTTGTTTAATACATGATGATAAAAAAATTGCAGGGAAAACGGCTACTAATTCATATATTTGGTAAATTTGTTTCTCTCATGGTCTGTGAGAGATATAGGGTAGCCCCATATACGTCTTTCTGTGTATAGTGCTTGTAACTTTACGAAGAATGGGCCAAATTTCTTATCATTTTGATGATTCCAGAACCTTGCAGATGCTAGATGCTAGATGATCAACCTTTTCTGATCTAATCAAAAACGTTTCTTTCACAATGCAATCGCATGACCATAACTGGTCTTTACCTTTAAAATAATTTTTTGAGTGGTCCAGGTAAAGTTTTGCCATGTCCCTACATGTAATACGAGACCATTACTCTACCACTGAGCTATCACGCCTCCTTGAAAGTCCATTGTTTGCAAGTTACAGTAGACTAGTTTACAGCTACATGTATCATATTGGAACGTTTTGGGATTGCTTTACAGTACCTTAGATTAAATACAGGTACAAACTAAAGCTGGATGTACATGGTAACAGCCTGCTGTTTTCCTCTCAGGTATTTGAAGTTTTGAGTGATGGACTAGTCACAAGGGGTGGGTGAGGATTTTTAAAGATATGCAATTAAGGAGCTGGAAACAATGAAGTGGGAATAGTTGGGTAAAATTTGACCCAACCAAATGCTATATAAATTTGTTCCAAATAGATTAACTTTAAGGAACGTGTGGGTAGAACTCTTATTTGTAACAATTGAATACTTATGATTATTGTAGGGTGCGCCTGCCCAACCTATAGTTTCATGATATTTGAGGTCTGCTGCTTCAGCTGGGTACATAATGTGTAATGAATGCAGTAAGGAAACTACATGTACAGTGTACATGTTAGTTCTTGATTCACCCAGGTAGAATGATCTTTTGCAAATAGGCCATGACCAAGGCCCTGTTTTATAAAGAGTTGATATTTATCACAACTCTGTAGGTAAGAGATAGGAGACTGCAAGCTTGCGGTTGATAAGAGGACTTGCTACATTTAATATCCGCGGTTGGTTCGGATCAATCGCAACTCTTTATAAGAAGGGGCCCAGATATGAAGTACATGACAAAGTAACAGTAAGTAGTTGTTGTTTAAATAATGTCATTGAATATGAGATGACATCAACAAGGATAAATGTGAAGCATACCTGTAGGTTCTGATTTGAGATAAAAAATAGAATATAATAAAGTCTGCATGATGCTTTTACAGAGTACTTGTATACTGTTTATAGTTTCAAATTTTAGGTTACCCTTCTAGTGGTATGACATACATGTACATGTAGTACCTGTAAATCAATGAATAGGACTGAGCAAATTTTTGGTCCATTACTCACAAAGTATCCAATTAGCCCAGTTAATCAAAGGTTTATTTCATTGTATAGAAGGCATTCAAAGAATGGCTTTTGTGTATTTATAGGCAACAATGACTTCAAAGTATTTTGATAGAGTCTGCCATTGTGTATACTTAAAATCTGCATGAACGGTTATGTACCTCAAATAAAAGCTGTTTTCTTGCATACATACTGTCTTTTGTTGGATATCAATGGATAATTTGAATAAAAGAAGTAGGTTCATTCTTAAGTTGACTTAAAGTATGTCAATCTCTATACTTGATTTTAATGTACATGTAGAGCACAACTACTGATACACAGCATTTTACTGTACACACTAAATTCACGTAATTTGCAACTTTGTTGATTGTACAAAGATTTTTGATTGACTGGAAGCAAGGGTACAGTAACTGGCTATAATATAAGACAGAGCTGTGTTTATTTAATTTAACTTGTACATTACAAGAAAGTTCACTCAAATGTATGAATCTTATCTCTTTTGTTTTACAAAAAACAAACATTCGGACTAGATAATGTCATTGAAAAGGATGGGGGCAGGTCAACAGAAAATATGTAATTAATGTTTGTTATATATATATTTAATTTCCTTTTAATACACCATAGCACAATTTAAAGTTTGACCTTACATAGAAATGTTCACACTGAGCATGTATACATGTACATAGTCAATATGCATTATTCATACTTTTTTGGCAGGAGACTTTTAAGAACTGTCAAGTAAAGCTACACACTTAGTTACTTCAAGTTGATTTGGATCTCGAGTTTCCAGACACTTATAACATTCATCCTTCCTCGAGCAGGCGATGCAATGTGTTGGATTAAACACGATCAGGAGTGGAAATGGGTGCTCAATTTGCTTGGATTAAATTGTCTCTCTTCGTGCAATACTTCCTGGTTGTGAGTTAACCGCTATAAATAGAACCACTTTCTCACACATTCATGTATGCAGCTGATAGATAGCCAGGCTCTCACTAGCCTGATTCGAGTCTGATTAAAGGTAATAGTCAACTTTTGAATATTAAAGGTACTATGTCCCATTTGCAGGCCAAAAAAATGAAAAGGTTTCAAATTCCAACAGCATTTGAAAGATAATACTAATTTAGAACTTCCCTTAAAAAAAGGTGGGGCTTGAAAATGTCTTCACGTGGGAAAATAAAGACTATTAGTTGTCAAATCGACTTACGAGCTATAGAGCCAATAAGTAATAGTCTTGATTTTTCAGACCATTGTACTGAGTGGTCATACGTTTTATGCTGCGCAAAGATTCAATCAGTTTAATTTTGGCCATCAGAAGAAGTGGGTTATTGATGTAGACAAATGCTCATGTACCCTTTACAGCTCATTTTATGTATGTTGTTATCAAAGAAGAAATAAAGCCAGTCAGTCAATCAATAGTGTCTGACAGTGAAGTCTAGCAAGTAAACAGGTTTCCTTGCATAATTTGAATATTAGGACACTGCTAACATTTAAATTTCACAGATAGGACATGTATGACATATTCATAATTCCTGTTAAGTTCTACAGAATTTAAGGTTTGCTGCAAAAGGGACATAGTACCTTTAAATAGTAGCTGAGAAAAAATTGCAAAAGGCAGCAAAAAATATGCATATAAAAAGAAAAGAAAACAACAAACAAACAAAACAAAAAGTATGGTTTGAATGTACATTATACATGAACATACCTCATTATCTTGTTTTTCCAATTAACCCAAACCTTTGTCAATTGAAATGCAAAAATACAGAGCCTGTGGACCATTTAGCATTGCTAAAATTTAAAATTTAAAATTGCAAATCTACATGTACATGATGCTTAACAAATGCATGTACATGTCCTGTACCCATTGTATTTTGTTCTATAGTGGGGGCTTGATTATAGACTTGACGTATAGTTAATGTATTTTCCAATTAGAGTTAATTGCTTGGTGGTATGTGTCCATCTACATCTATTATCTTAATGTATGTGTACACTGTAGATAAACTTTAGATTGTATGTTACCACACATGCTCTGGTGACAATGGAGACTATGGTCAATTTGTTACACTAACCGCAATGACCGCTTCAGTCCTGGACCCCACAATACCAAAGCCTGACTGTAAGCTGATCCTAAACCTAAACATAACCTAAAGCCTAATTGAAGTTCAGTAACCCTAACCCTATGTCTTTGGCAATGCGGAGTGCAGAGTGATTATCGCAGGAGAAAATGTTGGATTGCCCTAGAGGTGAATGTGTGAAAGGAGGCATTGCAAAAAACTGCAGTTTTGTCAACATCAATTGTTAAATTCCATAAAGACCTGACATGAACTGTACTTCAAATTCAAAGTGTTTTGTTTTGCAAACATACATTGTATTTCACATACATGAATGTATTTCAATATCGATTAATCAACAACCATCCGTTCTCTCGTCAATCATGTACTTCAGATTCTACATTTACGATGCATTGTTTTTACAAATGTTGCTTTTAGTAATAAAAAACACCTCTTCCGGATATTTGCAAGAAGCAGTTGTCATGATCATAGTATATTTATTTCATTTTGATATTTCTTTTGAATTTTACACAAATATCTTTGAAAAGGATACACACTGTACATGTACATGTAATTATAAGCATGTTTTAATACATTGATATTACTGAAACATGGTATAAAAGAGAAAGACGAATCATTCTTTTTTCCTGCCAATGTTTTTTAAAATCGAAACAGCATAAATTCCCTCCAATTATGTGTCTTTTTCTGTATTATTGTAGATGTATTGTGCTGTCTAAAACTTTGATTTTTTTTCTGAGTCATAGGCTCATAGCCCCAGATGTTAATGTGTAAAAGGGTGGAAGCATAGAACCATGTGATTGACCCATATGATATGAATACTAGAAACACATGGATTGGATACCGACACTCAAAATCATATGCCCATCGATGCTAATAAGATGACTACCGGTAGTCTGTATTAGAAGCAGATCACGTACAAGTGCAGTATAATTTACATTGAGATGGAGGTTAATCCCACTGGGAGATTGCAGCCTGTCATAAATTGTCGATATCTCCATCCCGTAATGAGCGATTATATTGCTTTGCCAAAAATCAATGCGCAAAGTTAGTGAGGTCAGCTCATGTATTGATTTCCGGCTTCTGGAAAATTTTCCGCTAGATTTCTGAAGGTTCACATGAGGTAGACGTTTTTGTACATTTTTCGTTTGTTAAATGAATTTATAATAATTATATTTGCTTATATAGCGCCTAGCACTACATGTACTTTATCAAAACGCTCAATAATGCAGCATAATTACCATAGCTTTAGCAGTGCAGCTTGAAGGGTAAAAATTGTTGAATTTTTTTTTTGTGGCTGATTTAAATGTTAAATATTCATGTTTACCTACATGTATGTTCTGAAAATACACAACACCTTTTTAAAATGTTTTTTAAGTACTTGTACATGTATATCCTTTTTTTGAGTTATCATTTACCGGTACTTAAATTTTTAGAGAAAATGAAGCCCTAAAATACAAGTACCCACATGTTTTGTACATCATTGTTAGGTCCTGTCTCAAGTACAGTAATTTAGCATGGGAAACCTTGTTGGTGACTAATTACTAAAATATGTTCAGTTGGATAATAAAAAGATGTTAATATCTACACTGTACACATCTAACCACAAGTACATTTATCTAATACAGTCTGCAATAGCTTTGAATTTGGATGTCTAATTGGACACATACACGCAATCTGTACTTGATTGATATTGCTGATCTGTGCATAATTGGACGATCTGTTTCGGACTTCAGTTAAAGGAAACACGTTGGTCTGTCTTCAATACATGTACATGTATGTGCAGTCATATGACCAGGATTCTTTTTCTGTATTGACATGCCATAAATTACATGTATGTACCGGTAGTCACAAATAATATTTTTAAAAGCACACTAATAGTCACGCTAAGCACTCTAGTATCTACAAAAATATATTTAAAGATTGTTTAATATTATAGGCAGGGACAGTTTAAAAAATCTTCACCAGAAACCTGAATGTTGCTGTTGTCATGCCTACCGCATCCTCCGTCCTTATCCCATCTTGTTTATTTTCTTTCCTCAAACACAGGTTGGTTCGATGATCACAAGCTGTGCCTGGAAGCCCGAAAGTTGAGTGCGTTCTAGGTGCATTGCAGGGAAACAGAGGAGGGTGCTTCATAGGACACAGAGACAGGGAGCAAGATTATAGAGAGAGAGGGAGAGGAAGATTTAAGGAACGAGAGATAGGAGAGACAGGATAGAGGGAAAGGAAGACAAGGAAGGAGAGATAGGAGAGAGGGAAAGAAAGATAAGGAGACGGGGAAAGGAAGATAAGGAACGAGAGATAGGAGAGGGAAACAAAGACAAGGAAGGAGAGATAAGGAGAGAGGAAGAAGGGAGAGGAGGAGTGAGCTGGGCTCATGAGTGACGGAGGAGAGTGACAGAAGAGGCATCCATCTGGAGTTTGATGCGGTGACAGCCATCGCAGACGTGCAGCAGGCAGCATGTCAAATGTAAGTATTTCTTATCATCTGTCATTAGGCTTGACTTCACCAATAGACTCTTTTACTAACTTATTACAATTTATAGATGGTTCTTTCCCGGGGACCTACAGTAGTGACAAGTTCCATTAACCTGTTAGTAATATGTGAACTATAATACTCAGAATCCAGTCTGCATATATATATTACATGTTGCTATGTCAGGCAAGCATTGGGCAAGTTTTCAGGTTAGGTCAAGAACATTTTTTGTTTTACGAGTATGCACATTTGTAATATGTTGGTAAACGGGTCTATTATGCCTAGGACCAGTGATGCTTTGGGCAATGGGATTGCATTGTTTTAATGAATGGGCTGTAGTATTAGTACATTGCAGACATGTATGCAAATATATACATTTTTTAAAGTTCTTAGTCATATGATAAGGGTTTATTTTAAAACATCAAGAATAAAACAAAAATAAAGCTAACAATGGGTTCTATACATTTCTACATTATGTAGTAGAAAATAATAGACCAGGAAGTATGCCAATGGACAAGGGATGTGCATAATTTATGTTATTTTACACTCTTTTTTCTTTCTTCTTCTTGTTTTCTGCTTTTATCATTTAAGAAATGTTGTTTCGCCCAGAGTTCTCCATTTATAATCTTAGCTTATTATGGAATCTTGTGATTACCAGCCTTTCTGAATTTCAGACCCTGCTACCAGTATATCCAACACACTTTCTAATACAAGGAGGAAATACTTCCATAGCATTGTACAGTATCTTGAATGCCAAAGATTTACATATATTTGTATCACATGATCATTATTTTTCAATGGTGATAAATGAAATGTATATGAGCTTTTAAATGGGATCTTATTTCACTGTGTAAATAAAACAATATCATTTGCATTAATGTTATTCATACATGTACATGTACATGTACAGGTACATGCAGTGTTTGCAACATCAGGCTATAGGGCGTTTTCCACTCGATTCCCAAGTGAACATAAACAAATACCTAGACATGTACATATCCGATCCCTTTTAATTAGATATATTGGCCTCATATGCTATCCGGTTACACCTTATGAACTGAACCGTCACTTGAAATCGGATTGCCTACTGAGTGATAAGCCAATAATCATCCGAGCGTTGCAATAATATTTCTGTCTTCAAGGTTGCCAATTTGCCCGCCTCAAGGATGGAAGATTCTCCTTATCTTGTTGTTCAAGTATCGCCCTGATATGAGTGGTATTTCATGCTGAGTGAATTCCCTCCTCATCTTCCTGGTTTATATACACTAGGTCTGTTTTCATCAGCTCGAGATTGCCAAATAACCCGCTATTTTAACTATCCTGATCGAAAATTATCCAGCTAATTTGTGTCCTCTTCAGCCCGCAGTTGTAATTAGCGGGATATTTGGTCGAGATAATCATCCCAAGATATCTTGGGCTAGTTTGCAAGATATCCCGCTATTCGTACAGTGCGACTTCGCCAGTCCGAAGACTTGCACTATGTGCGAACGCTGAGCAAAATATCTTGAGCTAATTTCTCGAGCTCGAGCTCGAGTTTTTTGTTTCAAGGTCAAGTCTCAAGCTGATTAAGATGCGATTTGTAACTTCAGGCTTATTTTCCAAATCAGAAATAGCAGATTATTTGGCAATCTTGAGCTGATGAGGACAGGCTTTAATACTGCATGACCCTAAACATTGATGTTAGAGAATTGAGAGTGGTAGACTGGTGGTGTGTAAATATCATGCTGGGTGAAAAATATGCCAGGCTTGCCCTCTATTTTATAATGTGCATTGTACACAAATATGACCTTAAAAAAATAGAGATCAAGAAAGCTTTTATTGCAGTGTTGAGGAATTTATGCAGATATTTGTGCATTTTCAACTTTCCTAAATTATCTTATGGGGACTGTGGGGTGAAGTACATGTATATTTTATTTTGAAGACAAGATAAACAAATTCAACTTGGGTCATGTAACATTTTGTTGCGATATCTACCGGTAGTTACATTCTTTGTGACTGGTAAACATTGATCTGTGAAAAATACTCTCTGAAAATCAAGAACTGGAATGTGACATTTTGAGATAATCTGGTACATGAACATGGGAAATTTTTTTTTAATAACTTTGCCAGAACCATTGCAAAAGTATATTTTTTATATTTGATAAAAGTACAAAATATAACAAGCATACGTATTGTATGCAGAACACAAATATACATATTGTACACATTGTATAGATAGCGTACATAGTCCGCACGCACATGTTCCAAACAGTATGTACATTGTATAGGTAGCGTGCATGTACACTGTACATTAGGTCTACATGCACATGTTCCAAAGATTTTTTTTTTAAAATCCATTGTCTTCAAAGTTTCTATGACCTTACGATTCGCAGTTTCATTCAAAAAGAATAGATCAATATGATGTATTCATCAATACATTATAGAAATCTTAACCATCTCAGTTATATTTAAAAATAGAACGCTGTTTGTAGACACCTGTTCAGGAAATCAAAAATTCTAGGAAAATGAGCAACAATTGTAGAGATTTCATGTTGATTGTATTGGGATGGAGGGAGGGAGGGAGGGAGGGATAAAGAGAGAGGAAGAGGTCTTCCCGTTTCTTTCTATCTTGAAAGGCTAAGTCCACTCCAAAAAAAGCTTGCTTTCAATAGATGCAGAAAAACAGGAGAAACAGAGCAAAAAAATGTTTGAGGAAATCGGATCACTAATAAGGAAGTTATGAATTTTTTTTTAAAGTATGAAAAACTATGGAACAATGAAATTCATGACACAAATTGTGGAATTGTTTATCAGTTTGTGACTTCATTGTCTCACTATATATCAATTGCTTTTCTTATTTTTATCCCATTAATTTCCCTTTTTATCCCCAAGAACTTGATTTCCCTATGCCTTTGCCCAGGTTATATGATTTGTATCATATTGCATGCATGATATTTCACAACCTTTTTTTAACTTTGAAAAATTGATAGTATTTTTGGAATACTGTTTCATAATTATTAATTTTCAAATAAATAGTTTATTAAAATTCACATTTTTCATGATTTAACAGAATAAAAAAAATTACTCTATATTAGTGCATCCTGGTTGCTGGTGTGAGGAAATAAGATTTTTAGGGGGAAAATTGGAAATTTACATTATCAATATATACATGTAATGAAAACAAATAGTGGATAGTGAGGCAAATGAGGTCACAGAATCATCAGTGAAATGCCAATTTGTCTCGAGTTTTTCATGTCATTAAAAACAACGTGCTATTTTGAAAACTCAGGTTGATAAAGACGAGCTTAGAGTGTAATGCTTATCTCTATCCATTTGTTTTAATCCTGTAATCACATACTGGGCAATTCCACGGTAACGGAAGGACACTCAGACAAGATTTTTGAACTTCAGGTTCATACTAAAAGAACTGTTTTATTAGTATAAGATGTGAAACAGTACAGATATAATACCTATATAAGTGCCTTTAATTCTCCCCCCAAAAATTGTCATTATAGTTAAGTAGTTTAAGAATGTGCATATTAATTATCTCGGTAACGGAAGGACATAAAAATGGACATGGTTTTTCCAGTTAATTAGTGTTTATCCAAACTTTGTGAAGTTGATGAAGCTTTCCACTTGACTGAAACACATTTTGTTCCCCATAGTTTAATACATACTAATAAAACATTTCTTTTAGTATGAACCTGAAGTTCAAAAATCTTGTCTGAGTGTCCTTCCGTTACCTTGGAATTGCCCTACTGTTTACATCTTTCCCTTCTCCTTTTTCTTTTCATCTTGCAGTCACATACAAATAGTACAGGTATGTCCTGGTTGCCAGGGACAGAGTGTCTGGCTAGGTTTGAATTCAAAGGAACAACAGCAGATGACCTTTCCTTCAGGAAGGGAGAGGTCATAACTATTATCAAAGCAACAAAGGTGATTAGTTTATTTCTTTGACAAATCTTTAAAACCATGTAATGAATATATACATGTATGTATTAGTTGTGACTTACAAGTATATACATGTACTGATACTGTACATTATTTAGTACATTGAAGGGCAGGTTCAAGCTATTTGGATTGTGATGTACGGGACATTCAGAGACTTTAAACAAGAAATAACAACAGATAATATTATTTATATGGCTATCTTTTGGTACGAGTCTGTGGCTATTATGGGCTAGTTCATTTGTGGAAATTTTTAGTTCTGACCAATTCTTTAATTAATTCTTAATGTAATTAATGTGCTGCGTGACGTACGGGACGCTGCAAACCGTATGCCATGCAGCACATTAATTACATCAATAATAATTACATGAACTAGCCCATAATAGCCACAGACTCATACCAACAGATAGCCATATAAATAATTTCATCTGTTGTTATTTCTTGTTTAAAGTCTCTGAATGTCTCCTACATTTGTACGTCACAATCCAAATAGCTTGGACCTGCCCTGAAACAAATCGTTTAGAGTATTTCTTCCTTGTTGTTTCTTTATCGGTTTCATTTCAATGTATTGCGCTTGGCATCGTGAATTCAAAATCATTAAACATAATGATGTGTCATGTTCACAATGATGAAAAGGTGTAGACATATACAACTGTATAATGCTTGAAATAACGGGAGCCTGTGTACCATAGCTCAAAACTGCTGTAACAACGTACATGTAGTTTGATTATTACATGTCTATATCCATACCATGCTCTGCCCTTGTCTTATCATTGAAAACCATATACACATGCAGCTCTGACAAGGAAGTACATCTACCACTGTTTACAACGCAGATGATTGTACTCCTACCTGACACCACTTCTACCAATGAAGCATTGTCAGAGATTTTTTTATGTCAGAGCATTGTATTCAACATTAAAAAATGAGAGTAGCCCCCCCCCCCCCCTCCCCTGACACTACTAAAATACCCCCTGCTCCTGCTGTGCCACTAATGTCTCTGATTTTTTTTTTTAATGATGGAAATTGTGTAAAATAAACTATTTATTGAGCACCGCCCTCCTTGTTCTCCATGAAAAAAAAACAACCTTGGTTCATTGTACTGTATGTACTTTCTATTGATACTTTACAGGATCCTAACTGGTACAAGGCAAAGAATGAACAAGGTTCGGAAGGGATGATACCAGCCAACTATGTCAAGAAACGAGAAGGAGTCAAACTACAAACTATGCCGTAAGCTATTACCATTTCAGTGCCATAAGCACTACATGTACGTTTTGATATTCCATCCAATATTGTTGGACAACGAAAAGCTTGTGTTCCTTCTTAAATATTTATTACCATTGTTGTTATCATCATCTGCTTCAAGGAGATTTCTGCAAGTGGTTTTCGTTCAGACATATGTTTGATAAAGAGAGCTTTTTTTCGAATTTGTCGAGGAAAACGCTATGTTTGTCTAGAACAGGTTTTCACTCAGGTAGGCGACACCCCATTATGAAACTAAAATGATCAAATAAGTTTCTTCAATCTAAACATCTGATACAATTATTTGCTATATTATTATTTATCATAATAATTGGAATAAATTAAACTTGGATTCACCATCACTGTAGCTTATTTGTTTTTTTATGTTTAGATGGTTCCATGGTAAAATCACAAGAGAACAAGCAGAAGACCTTCTGCAGCCTCGGGAGGATGGTCTGTTCTTGGTGCGAGAGAGCACCAACTACCCTGGGGACTACACACTGTGTGTAGCCTTCCTAACTAAGGTCGAACATTACAGGGTCATCTACGAGAAGAACAAACTCACCATCGACAGCGAAGAGTTCTTTGAGAATCTCACTAAGCTTGTAGAGGTAAGTGATAGTTTTACGCCCCTTTCCACTCTAAGAAAACATTACAATGCTCTGTAGCTGTAAGATAAATGATTATATTCATATTGCCTTGAATGAAACACTAGTTTGATTAGGTTGACATGTATTTACTTTAGAATACATTCTGGGTGAAATTGATTGGAAGATAAATCTCTCTCATTTGCAGTTTAATGCATACACCTAAAGCATGGTTTTATTGTACAACTCTTACCCAGTCCTGTGGTAACTACAGATTAGTGTTTGCAAGTTTATCAACAAATGTTGGTCTTACTCTCAACTAATTGAATTATAGTACCCCCACATGTGCATTTATGTGATTCTGGGGGTGTTTCACAAAGATCCTAAGTCAAACTTAACTCTAGTTGGATTTAAAGATTATGGAGAGCCATTTGTAACCTTAACATAAAATACATTCAAAAGCAAAAATTGAAGTATTTTAGACTTTTCATAAATTCCACATCAAGAACATGAAATCTCCTTGATAATAGTAATACAAATGATTTGAATCAACACTTTTATACCGGGTATGCCTTTTAAAATAACTTTTACAAAATATTTTTGTAGATGCTACCGGCTTTCCGTAATTTTTAAGTCTTAATTGAGATAAGTTCAACTTAGGATCTTTGTGAATCACCCCCCTGGTATCCCAACAAATCTACTAACATTCTATATTGTAGCATTACCAAAGTGAAGCAGACGGCTTGTGTGCAAGGCTGACCAAATCTATACCAAAGAAAGGGGGACAACTCAATTTATCGGTCGACTCAAATGCATTTATACAGAGTAAGCCCATTACATCATTCTTCATTATAAGTTGAACAACTTCAGATTTTAGCTGTGTGTTTTGATTAACTTTTATACCCATACAAACACAAATAATACCAAATTGGACAAGTTTTGTCAAATCATGCACTGTTGAGGGATGTACAGTATGTGTACAAAAGAAAAAGTTAATAAAGGTATTCTGGACTATCTTGTGTTACAATTTGCACTGTCCTGGTGAACAAACCCATTTTATCAATCTCCCTCAAAATGATAGCTTCATGCTTGCCTACATGAGCATATGGCCATGCCAATAGTCATGCCAATTCATTGTGTTCAGACATGATCTGTCCATCCTTGAGCTGCTCTTCATGGGGAATGTAATGATGCATGAGTCATGAATAAATCATTATTGAATCTATCCACTCTTACTATTTTTGTCCTTAAAAAAAAAGTTGTTCAATGACTGTTTGCATGTGAATCTCAGGTAAATTAAATGAAAGGAGGAAGAAAAATCATTGAATTAAGTTGTTAGATTTTACATAATTTCTATTTGATTAGAAGTGAGAAATATGATAGCATTGTGCAATGAGAAATGATGTCCTGTTGAGTAATAATGACATACCGGTACTGACAACTACATGTATCTACCCGTACATGCACCTTTTGAGTAGTTTCTTCAGTCATGCCCTATCTGACAAAGTCAATAGTGTGTTTACTCAGCAAATATATGGTTTACCTCTGCAGGTACAGTGCAAATACAATGTGATTGTTATTTATTGTAATCTGATGTGTATTTTGTAGGTGGCTGGGCCATCAACAGCAAAGATATCCATCTAGGTTCATGTATAGGAGCTGGAAATTTTGGTGGTAAGTATTAAATTCAAAATAAATTTAACATGATATTGCTTTCAGGGAATCACAAGGGCTCATTTGATCGCTCTAAGCATTTTTGTATGAAATACATTTTTTATACAGTCAGAAGACAAGTCACATTGTTTGGACACTGTTTCAGTATCGTGTTTAAATTATAATGCACAATACAATTAGGTCTCTTTTTTATGTATTGTAGGTATGAGAGTAAACATGAAATAACCGGTTGAATGAATAGGTATAGTGCCTTTTACAATTTGGCCATAAATCACAGATAAGTTATTAATACTTTATCACTTCCTTTAATAACGGTTAACCTTCACACCAACATGGCCCCTGGATTATGATGACACCTGATGAAATAACCTTCTAAATGTATATTAATGGTTTTTATGGCGTTTTTCCTTGTCGTTGGAGGATTTTCGCCACTGATGGATGCTTAATGGAGGCTTGTTTTTTTATAGCTTGTGTTTGATAACTCTGACTGATTAATATGTGAAGGAGTTAATATTAACTCTTATTTATTTTTCTCTTGATTTTGTTTGTAGATGTGCTCCAAGGGACCTACCAAGGTAGGAAGGTAGCCATCAAGCAAGTCAAAGATAACAGTACAGCCGCACAAGCATTCCTGGCAGAAGCCTCCGTCATGACGTGAGTATCCAGGCTCAAAACATACGCCCAAATGTGGATTAACCCTTTAACAACTAAACCGTCCAAAACTGCCCGTTCGCTTTCGTCCGTTTTCAACGCGCTATAGTATCCGTTCTAGGGTCTTCCGTAATAATGTTATACGTGCCTAATCCTTATGATGTCTACAGTAGGATTCTGCATAGAAAAATAGCACACGTTTCATATTATTCAGAAAAATGTCAAAATGAGAGCAATATTGCAACATCTTCCAGAAAGGTGAAAGGGCATTTTGACAAAATCTCTAGTTGATATTGGGTTAAAGGCCATCAATCACAAAAAAAGTATTTTGCTCTGGTGGAGTTCATGCCGGTGTACTCTATTGAAGCTATCAATTTCTCTTGAAGAGAGATTCAAAGGTTTTTAAGCATTTCAAATGAAGGTGAAAGCACTTTATGCATAGATTAGTCAATGCACACATACACAAGCGTAGTGTACACAAGTCTGACTTTCCCCATACTTGTGCCAGGGTTGCTTCGAATAACCAGTACAATGCTGGGTAAAGTTTTTCAAGTTGATGTTATTTGCATGAGCTCAACGAAAATAAACACTTGAAATCACAGCAAAGAAAAAGTCTTGCTTACTTGCGAGTCTTGCAAGTTTGTTATTAATTTTGTATGTGGAAGATGTATGAATGATTTAGCAAAAATTACTCCTACACTGTAATTCCTTTGTTTGAAATGTCCTTGCCTTGTTTTTCTCCAGGACGTTAAAACATCCCAACTTGGTGCAGCTTTTAGGGGTAGTGCTTGGAAACCCTCTCTATATTGTCCTGGAATTCATGTCTAAGGTAAGATCAAAATACCGAGGGGTCAGTGACACAGAGACGTTACTCCATTTTTGCCATCTTGAGAAAAAGTAGTTTATGTGTCACTGAGCACTTGGGCCTTAAGGAGTTAAGTCCATGTTTCACTAGCTATTGACTTCAATGGGGTGTTGGGTGGAATTAAGTCTTTGTGTTTCCTGGAAAATCCACATTTTTCTGAACATTTTGATATCAAATACTCATTTTGGCAAAATATGGATTTTAGTCTTTTTGTCACTGAACCCTCGATATGAAACATACAATAGGACTGCGATATTTGTTGGTACATCAATTAAAGTTGATTAATTAGTTTAGGAATATCTTATTGCTTGCTTTTGCTATACTATTGTCTCCTTCTCTATGTCTAAAGTACATTGGGACTAGAGAGGGCTATCTACTATACAAATCTGCTTTGTTATTATAATTAGTATTAATAGTAATGGTTCAAAGCACATTTTCCCAGGAGTCAAAGAACATCATCAGTTGCATATTCCCTTTTTTTATATTTACACATTTCTTTATTTTAATTGAGTTTCTCTTGTTGTTGTTGTTGTTGTTTGTTTAGTTTAATGGCGTTTATTCAGTATTGAATATATACGCCATAGCTTCAGTTTTATAAAAAAATCAGTTATCCATAAAGAAAACTGAGAACAACAATTTGTAATGATATAATTAATTAATCAGTAACAAGTCTCTGGATGGTTTACAACTTTGTATTTCTGCTTTTTTTAAACGTTTAATCTGGTCAGCCCGGTTTCGATTGCATGGAAATCTAGCTTTGCCCGATTTGAACCAGGCTTCTCGGCGTGCGTGCGCAGTGATCTTTTTATTTTGAAACGCACGGTGCCTAGACCACTCAGAAACATGGAAAAAACTAAATTGAGACACATCATACAGGGGCGCTCCTAAACCAAAATTCCAATCCATTCAAGTAAATTGTTATACACATCTTATCACATTATCACTATTTGTAAGCAAACATTAAAGTGGGCTTTTTGTTAGTATTTATGCATAAAATATGAAATTTTTTCTTCCAATATACAGGGCCTATATACATGTACATACATACATACATACTGGTATATATTTCTTAATTCATTCCTCCTTTTCTTCTCCTAAAGAAGCGAGAGGGAAAAGAAGTACTTTAGGCTTATTTTACTTTACTTGTAGGTATCCTTATTAATGAGGACTCTTGTTTTATTTGAAGCGACCTGTTCTATGGATATATAGTAGGATGGCATATTGAGCCTTCTGTGAAAACTTGAAAAGTATTCTTTTTGTTTCTTCTATTGTTTTTGTGTCTAAATCTAAGAAAAGCATTGCTCGTTCAATTCAAAATCTTTAACCAGATTTTTACACAAGGACATTGAAATGATGCTATACACGATTATTCCCAGAGTATTATTTAGCCTATAGTATAGTACTTGAAATTGTTCAAGATGCGTAGTGTAAATGACATGCAAGAAGATGTAAGAACGTGATTCAAAGAGCACAGTCCTTGAAAATGCAGGAAATCTCATTTTTAAAATCAAGTTGTTGTATGAGTGCCCCTTGTGAGACATTGATTATTTCCTCAGAAAAGGACTTCAATTAGAAAACATTGAATTTCCGTTTTCATTAATTTCCAAGATCATAAATGACCTGAACAGAGTGCATGTAGATATACGTTTACATACATTTGAAAGGTGGACTGGCTGAATTAGGGCCTGTGTTGAACACTTTTAGATGTAGGCTTTAAAGATACTACAGGTATGTCCCTTTTCCAGCCAACCTCAAATTCTGTAGAACTTTGCAGGAATTATGGATATGTCATGTCTGTCCTATCTGTGAAATTTAAACGTTAGCAGTGTCCTAATATTCAAATTGTGCAAGGGAACCTGTTTACTTGCTAGACTTCACTGTCAGACACTATTGAGTGACTGACTGGCTTTTTTTCTTCTTTGGTAATAACATACACAAAATGAGCTGTAAAGGGTACATGAGCATTTGTCTACATCAATAACCCACTTCTTGTGATGGCCAAAATTAAACTGATTGAATCTTTGCGCAGCATAAAACCAATGACCATTCGGTACAATGGTCTGAAAATCGAGACTATTACTTATTGGCTCTATAGCTCCTAAGTCGATTTGACAACTAATAGTCCTTGTTTTCCCACTTGAAGAAATTTTCAAGCCCTACCTTTTTCAGAGAAGTTCTAAATTAGTATTATATTTCAAATGCCGTTGGAATTTAACCTTTTCATTTTTTTGGCCTGCAAATGGGACATAGTACCTTTAATATGTCATATTTTCAAGAAACATACATGTAAATGGGTACAAATCAATTTTTGACATACATGAACAATTACAAAACTTGTTAAGGGTATGAATAATTTAGTTGATAACTGAACGTATTCACATGAATAATGTAGATAAAGACTTTTATGTATTCCTGGCTGTGCATAGTTTAAATGTGTTAATGTGTTAATCATGCTTTCCATTATAGGGTAATCTTGTGGACTACCTTAGATCGAGAGGAAGAAATGTAATCACAGCAAGACATCTACTTAAATTTGCCAGGTAAGTACATATACAGTGACACCGATATAGACCACTCAAGGGAAACATGAAAAGTGGTCCTCAAGTTAGACAGGTGGTCTTTATGTACAGGTTTCAATGAGAAACCATATTAAAGGAATGCGGTCCTTATAGACAGGGGGTCTTACTACACAAGTGGTCGCTAAAGCAGATATGACTGTACATTTAACGATCCATCAGCAAGGCAGTTTTGTTTACATTGCTTTTCTCTGCCCGGGTTTATAAATGGCTACCTTATAGGATGGGAAGATATTGTGGTTTAAATTAGCCAGTGTATTAAGCCTACCTGTAAGATAGCAAAGGGCTGGAATGATCCCAAGCGAATAGATAAAATGCACTGCAAGTAACGAATTGAAATTAAATCCATTGGTTGTGTAATATTACACTGTAAAGTATTTTGGATCAGGAAGTTGTAATTGGACCAGTGCTGTACCAAAATAACTTTTATGATTCCATCATCTTTTCTTTTATTGGTGTCCCATGTATTGTTTCAATAAGATCACCTGCCAACTTATGACCACTTAAAAGATACACCACAAAATGAAAAAAAAAATTAATTGTAAATTAATGGCATCTTTGTGCGGCAAAGGACACTGCACATGCTCAGTTACCTGTGTGTAAGAAGATATAGAAATCTTAGGTGTATTTGCCTACGTCACTTTAATTTGCCGTAGCTTTTTTTCGGGGAGGGGGGATGGGGTGGGGGAGGTTACTATGACATGTACAACCAAGGCTTTAGACAACAAACAAAAAAAGGACAATAACAACCTCTTGCCAAAGAATGGAACTAGGCTTGACTAGCACTTGTGCTAACTTCTAGTTCCCATTAACAACTTCACTCTAATGGTATGCAGATCTCTGTCTAAATGCATTCTTGTTTTATTATCATTCTTTGTATTATTCTTCGTATGATTATTCATATACGGTCATTATTGTGGTGTGTTGTTAATAAATTCAATTCAATTCAATGCAAGTCATAATCAATTTGCATGTTATTTTTCCATCCTTTCTGCTTTCAGTGACGTGTGCAATGGTATGGCTTACCTTGAGGAGAAGGAGTTTGTCCATCGGGACCTTGCGGCCAGGAACATCCTGGTCTCGGAACAGGACATAGCCAAGGTGTCCGACTTTGGTCTATCCCAAGAGGCCACACTCAATCAAGAAGGAGGCAAGTTCCCCATCAAGTGGACTTCCCCAGAGGCTCTTAGGAAAAAGGTAGGTTGAATCTATGGGACCAGAGCAATTTTATATACAGAGTTTGGACAACCTGGTGCTAGTGCTTGTTGGGTTACAATATGGCGAAAAAACAAAAGCATATATGGCATGTTGTGACCAAGTGAAACAAATTTAGTGAAACCAATTCAGTGAAACTCAAATGGCTCTATATCGGACTATTTCCTATTTGTTCACATTTCTCTATCTTGTAATTCACTTTAATAGCTCTTGAAACGCAGAGCTAAGTGAGTGTGTGTACGACTTTTGTTGCAGTTGTCATTCATTTACATGTAAATAAAACCATGGCAGGTTTTTTTGTGGCATTTTACCTTGTCATTTCTGAACAAGCCTTTATGAATGGGGATCGGATATTTTAGGCAATAACCAGAGAGGGACTAAGCGACTACTAAGATTTCTCATATTATCTGGCATTGAAACATACTGTATGATTATTGTTCCACTTCCTCCTACTCCAGGAGTTTTCTTCCATGTCTGATGTTTGGAGTTACGGTATCTTCATGTGGGAGCTCTACTCATTCGGCAGAGTGCCATATCCACGTGTGGTAAGCAATAAAAGTCTAAATACTTATAGCCCACCTGTTCTAGTTTGGCCAGGGGAATTAGACCTCCCTGCAAGGTCACTGACAGGTGGTTATCTCATGAAATCAGCTCTCAATTAACATAAGAAAAAGAGGATCATGGGGGACCAACAGGCACCAATTAGGCATTGTTTGCTATATAGAGGGTGCATGTAGCTATAAGTAGTGCAGCGGGGCTTTAATAGAATACTAAAGATGCTTGATTATTAGTTGAATCAGTCACCAGCTAATTATAGTGTATGTCATGTGTAGTGAAAAGTTCATATTTATTGTATTAGTCTTATTAGATGAAATTCTTTTGTTGAAATGAATTGTTCATCTAGCGATGAGTCTGATTTTTATTTTTATGTGGCACTAACAGGAGAATGATACATAACTTAATATAACCTGCTATGCCAATTTCGCAACTACTTTACACTTCTTACAGTTGTCTTTTTTTTCTTATCCTTCTCTACAGCCCTTATCTGAAGTAGTTGCCCATGTGGAGAAGGGCTACAGGATGGAGTCGCCCGAAGGTTGCCCCGACCATGTGTACAAGGTGATGAAGGATTGCTGGGATATCAATCCTAAGAAACGGCCGACGTTTAAGCATGTACGCTCTCAACTCAACCTCTTTATGTCTCGATGAGATCGTGATCGTTCAGACAAAGAAACAGACATTTCATGGAATGTTTTTGTATGCTGTAGTCGCTTCCCTGCACAGCTTTTGTTCGCTAGCTTCGTCTGTACATCCAAGCATGTCGGCTCTGAATTTGAGCACTTCATGTCTTTGAATTGCTTACAGGTTGAATTTTTAAAATGAAGAGGTGATTTGTTGATGTTGAAAGACCATCTGAAGAGTTACATTTCAAACTGCAGAACAATAGTATTAGTGGTATTAAGGCAAAGGTGTCGTGCTGTAAACTGGTGACAAAAGTTTATGGCCAAGGATGACGCTTCTATACCAGGACGTTTCTATACAAGGACATTTCGGTCACAATGGAAAAAGGAGTTTGAAACATTGACCTGGTTAAAATGGCATTGCACATGCACACTCATTTTATTTTAAAAGCCATTTCTACATTAAAAAGCAATCCGTGTATCTGAGTTGTGTTTATTTATTGCAGGTGTGATAATCAAATGACCTTCAAATCTTCCCTTTTTTATGGAATTTAAGTCAATGGGCATTTTACTGTAGTTGGGTCATTTGCATATTTGTGATGATAGTGTTTCTAGAATGGTTATGCATACATGTATCACGTAGTTGTTGTAGAATTATTGTTTCTACCACCAACCATATACATGTAGATTGATAGAGGTGTTGTGGTCTAGTGGACAAGTCACCAGACTGTAGATCACAAGATACAGGGTTCAAATCCCAGCCCGGCACTAATGTCCTTTGGCAAGACGTTCATCTACATATACCATTCTTCCCAGTGTTAAATGGATACCCGGTAGGATGCGAAAGTATTGTAGTTTGCTCAGCATTGTGAGATTCTGTGAATTGGTGCCTGGCTGGAATGCTCCCCAGGGAGTGGAGAATGTGTGTACATTGTGAGCAGGCAAGCCTGAATCCAATGACGGGGTAATAAAATATCTGTAAAGTGCAAAGAGAAATCGTCATGGTATTAAGTGCTATATAATCATCATGACTGTATTGACAGGATTATTTGTTCTACAACTTGACTGTTTCAAAGATGTGGAGACCTATCAGTTGATTCCCAATCATCACTCAGTAAAACCTTTCAGCATTCTATCCAATTAATTATGTAGTTGAAAGTGGCTGCTGTGTTTGTGTGTTCAAACCACCCCTGTCTACTCAACTGTAAGCGGATGCACGACGAATTCAAATTTGATCGTAACTTAGATGAATCATAACCCTGTGGCATATCTTGCACTAGTCATCAGTGACAAATGACAGTTTTTGTTATAAGCCAGTTCAATATTTGCTTCTGATTGGTTATCAGCAGATTGGTCACTGATTTTTGTCATTTGTCATTGAAAAACGGCTCTGTGAAAAGGGTCCCTGGCCTCACCCAGGTGGATGCTAAAGACTGGAAGGCTTTGAAAAGGGCCATAAGGGAACTGAAACATCCAACCACACAGTGAGGGGAAAACAGATGTTAAACGATGATGATAATGATTAGACAGGATCTAGGGTTTAGTTTAATAGGATCCATACCTCTGTAATCAATATTGGATTGTAGGTCAAGTTAATTTCAAGAATTATCACAGACTGCTCAGAAATATATATTAATTCCATACTCAGATGTAGTGTTAGATGCTTTTAATCCCATCTGTGCTACTAGGTTTGATGAACATTTATTATAAATAAAGTCAAGAATCAATTAGAGGTTATGATTCTTCGTTGACATTGTAAAATTGGCTTCAGATCTTTCTTAGAAAAACTGTCAAAGTGTATGTAAATGTTTTTCTCTTAGAAAAAAAGAAAAGGCATGTATAATCCAAGTTGACAAAACTTAATGTTGATGATCGACATTCCTGTGCAGGTTTTGATACCCATGGCATCAAAAGAGTTAAGATGTATGCTTTTGATAACTATGTGATCGTCCTGATGGGATTGCAACAAATGGCACTAGGGATATATATTTTCTGAAAGAAATGGCCAGTACAAAGTTTACCTTTCTCATGCATTGGTCAGATACATGTACATCGACTAGGCATTATATGACACTGCGCCGACTGGGTGGCAGAAGGGCGTTAGCGCACAGGCAACTCAAAAACTACTTTTCGAATTATTCGCATTTAAAGATTTGTTTTATATTTAAACTGCTTTCCGTCCCGAAAATTGGTTTAAAACATAAAAGACTAATAGAAATGTTGTAGTAGAACATGGCCACCATTTTTTTCTCGGAAATAAGTCAGTTTTATAAAAGTTTGAAGTGATTTAGTGCTAACGCCCTTCTGCTTAAAGTTTCATTATTGACCTGAAATTCGAGCTAAAGCCCTTCTGTCAGCCAGGCGACGACTGAAAGTATATATTTTACCACGCCGTATTGTATGAATGGACCATCTGTTAAGTTCTGTAGTTAAATCTAGTATAGAGTTTGCTATGTTGCGTTGAGGAAAGTATAACAATATCATCTTTAATGGTTCAGCTTTTGCCAAAGTTTGATCAAAATGACCAACTTCTTTTCCACGTTTTCCTATTTATTTTGAAGTTACATCTATGCAACAAACCGTTTTCTTTATGATAACTTGTATTTCATAAGCAAAAGGGACACTGTCATTACATAATGAGAGAGGCTTTGTCTTTTTTTTCTTCATATACCCTTTTTTTTTCCTGTGATCTGTTTGGCTAAGAAAAACTCATATAGACAGTATTGCAAACTTGCCAATAGGATTAGAGTTGTAGTCCCGTGCATACATTTTCATGTGTGTGCATTTTATTTTTCCTGTTCTATTTCATTTGTATTTATTTGTGCACAAAATTTAAGAAATGATGCGATGTTGATGAAGTTGAAAGCTCAAAGAATTCTTCCATGTCCATTACGTATTTCTACTACACTGTAATCACTACTTATATTAAGAAACATGTATAGTTATCGTTAGATTTTTTGTAATTCTAGAGAATTCCCTTGGGAATAGGCATGAAATACTCTATTTTAGGGAAAAGTTTAGAGTGTTACATTTAGTTTTGTACCAAACAATATATTTCAATGAGTAATACACATACACATTGTACATGTTTGTATCTTTGTCTCTGTGTGATATTGTACATAAGGAGAGAATATGCCTTTCGCTCTGAAAGTTAATGTAAAAAATGCTGGCATTTTTATAAGTTATTATGTATATGTCAATGTTGTAGAGCTAAAAAGTCAATGTGTCAATGTATGTACGGTAGTATAATTTCATATCCAATGCGAAGTGATGTATCACTACAGCTGTACCATTGCAATTGTGTACTCTATATATTCCTAAGTGTTAATATGTATGCTATGTTGTTCTACGTGTATGTGACGTATTGTCTCATTAGGTAGTATCCTTTAGCATACAATGTACATAGTCACCAACGCATAGCCATTGTATCTGCTCATTAGCATTAGGAGCTTTAATCACAAGTGATAATTTGCTTTTTTGTCAGAAATGTGTCAATTTTTTTGGTTATACATGCACTTCTTTATAAAAATATTCTCTTATATCTTATCCCCCTTCACATACACAGATTTTTCTTACGAGTCCTGACGGATCGCCAACGATGGCTTTACGTATTGTTACGAGTTCTTACGAGCACTTTACATGTAGTTATGAGTTATGAGTACTTAATGAATAGATAGGTATTTCTATGTATTGTTTTTTTGCGATTTGGGAAAGGTATAAAAAGCTGCAAAATCATAAGGACTCCTAAATACTCGTAAACAGGTTGTAACTAACACGTAAGAGCTTTGATGAATAGTAACATTCCGTAATATACTCTAGCAATCCGTAAAAAACTCGTAAAATGCTCGTAAGTTGCTTGTATAGTTTAATATCCAACAACAACTCGTAACAAATTCGTAATAAACCATAAATAGCTCCTAATAACTCGTAACAACTCTTAAATCAGTTGTAATAGTGGCCAAATCATAAGGATTTGTGGGATCCGTAAGGACTCGTAAGAAAAATCTTTGTTAGTATGAAGGGGGCATTAAAGACAATCTTTTAAAGAGGCCCACTTAGTAAAGCAAGCTGCATATGCCAAAGAAATGCAATGTTCTGATTGAAACAGTGTCAAAATAGGCCAACGGAATGTCCTTTTGGGGGGAGTATTTACTAATTTATCCCATTACAAATTCTTCCTGTATGTTACTGTTTTACCACACATTTTCGTTCATAATTTTGTTGAGCTATGTCTCACTTTTTTTCTTTCTCAGATGTGGCTTTGTCCGGCATAAATAAGCTCTTATTGATTTTGGTTCTCAGTATTATGCTTTCTATCTTTTCCTTTCTTTCTTGTTTTAACTTTGTTGGCCCATATACCTCAAAGTGCCCAAAATTGAACTTTACTAGTCCATTGACTTTATATTAAATGTCTACCCCAGCATTTTATATGAATAAATTAATGTGGGTATAAAGAAAAGTCAAGTTTATGTATTTTCATTAAGTTAAAGAATGATGGTGATTCTTGCAGGAAGAAAAGACATGTGGCAACCTATTAATCAATGAACTAACTTTATACATGTAGTTGGGATTTATGTATTTTGAGATTACAAAGTATGTGTTATCCCTTAAAACAGTTAAATTTAACTTGTTCTCCAACAAGTACTTGCTAGTTATTATAACTCACCATTTTCATCGATTTGAAGATACTCTACTTAAGATATTATTTTAGCTCGCTGGTGACATTAATGTAACATCACTACCTATCACATAGTCTGTTGAGAGCCAGAAGGGCGTTAACCCATATACTCTTAAGATAATAGTTAATGCTCTTCCGACTCTCAAGACGATATCACAGTCTTGCCACGGTATAGTTCTTCTGTTATACAATTTGAATATCACTCAGGCAAACAGCTTCCTCGACACAATCGTGACTCACCAGAGCTTTATTATATACAGTATCAGTATTGGAAAAGAGAGTTTGATTATTGGTTTTATTGATGGTGCACTCAATATCAATTTTAGTTCAATTGAATTTTGCACCGATTATTTTAATCAGTCAGATAAGCTTCTATATATATCTCATGTCAGAAATTATGTATCGTGTCAAAAGTTGAATTTAAATGTAAGTCATGTGTACATGTATCTTGACCGACACAGATTTGCACTACCGGTACTTAAGTTTTAATGTATACATAAATTGTACGGTTGTTGGCTTACCATAGTCTGAATGTAGTATGATTCACTTTTTGGTGATATACTTAATACATAACTGAAGGTCCAGATGTTCCATGGGCATCACCAGAACATTTTCAATTGGAAGAGGAAAGGGCATTGCATATCAGACCAAAATTTTCTGATAAAGTACGGTAAGGAAAATATTTGCAACACACACAGAAAAGAAGGAAATGTGATTTTTAGATTTGCAGACAAAGCATCAGAAATATCCTTTCAGACAACATCTTTTCAGATATTCACACATGTGACAGCATGCTATAAAATATTTATTTGTAATTGTAAACCTTTATATAGAGAGAGGTTGTATAAGTACTCCTGATTTTTTGTATAGCCTTTTAATAACTTTTGAAGGTAAAAACAATCACAATGTGGGCTTGCAAGCCATCTTTCGGGAACTACATGCGGCATTTCTTGTTTTTAGAATATCTATATGTTTCTTTATGCTGTTGTGTGCTTGACTAGGCTGTGTCTGCATGTAGGCTTCGTGGGTGGCAGGCCATAATGGGAGGGGAGGGGGGGGGGGGGGAGGTTACTGTAAGAGGGAATGCACAAGTGTATTTATAAGTATGCAGCAAGGGATGGGTCGGAACACAATTATGAGATCCCCCCAAAATTAACCATTTTTTCAAGGTCCTTGCGATTATAGACATGTGCTTGTTGCGCTCTTGCCTGGCATATTGTCAAAACATTTACCGCTTGCAATTCAGTGTTCTTCTATACAGCAATACATTAAAACAGATCTGGTTCCATTTTATAGTAATGGTTTCATATACATGTACCCCAGATGCTGTTTCATTTTTCTGTATGTACGAGTTGGAATATTTTTGTCTGATGTACGACTCGTAGTAATTAAAAGTCACATGTACAACGTATGAAGGAGAGTAGCAATGAATATTATATGCAATGAAATAGTCATGTATCAACTTCAATCAAGTAGATATTATTATATAATTATGGAGGTACATAGAACGACTGTAGAATAAGAGCAGTTGATAGAAATGTATTGCAAATAAATCTTTTTTTCAAAGAAAACTTTTGTGTTGATACCGTGTGTTCATTATTTTGTGTCAGATAGTTTTGCCAGACATATCCATAATTGTTTATTCTAATATATATACTATTTTTTGTAACATATTGATTATGCACTGTGTCACCAACTTGACTAATAATACAGGTAACTAAAAGAAATAAACTATTAGAACGATTCGGGTGGTTAGAGCAGCGTACAGTATATGAAAGGGTAAATAGAGAAACATACATTGTACATGTACTTGGATTGTATAAAATTGCAAGATGAGATAATGATGATCAAGTATAATTAATGCTTTTCAAATCATGGATATACAAACTTCATCATGGGCATTGTGAATGTAAGGTGTCGAATCTTCTGGCATTTTTATACTAAAACTGTCTTATAAAATGGAGTATTGCTTCCTAATATTTCAAATTCAAGGAAGAGAAATGTTCTGCTTTATATGTCCACAGTAGCACTGTCTGAGAAAAGACAATTTACAAATACACAGAAAGGGTAGATTTCAAGAGCATATTCTATTTTTATTTACAAGTCGAGTCATATCCATAAAAATAATGTTTTTCATGATGTTTCATGGACAATAAATAGTATAATACAAGTATTTTCACACGCACACACAAACATCTGATGCAGAGAGCAAGAGAGAGAGAGAGAGAGATTTTACATCATATTTGATTTGAATCCAAGACAGTTTTAAATCAATCAAAGTCAATGGACATATCAAAGGAATTTTTCATTTACAGCCCGTCTGTACTAGTTTGGCCAGGATGGATTAGACCACCCAGCGTAGTCACTGACAGGTGGCTATTTTATCAACTCAGCTCTCAATTAACATACGAAAAAGAAGATCATGGGGGACCAATGGGCACCGCTTAGGCATTGTTTCCTATATAGAGGGAGCAAGTATAGCTACAATGAGTACAGTGGGGCTTAAAGATAAAATTTTTTAAGTCAGATGGAACACATTTCAAACTGCAGACGATTTCGTACAGCACATATGACATCACTGTACAGTCCTACCCATTCAAAATATTACAGTGTCTTTGGATGGGTAGCCATTAGAGAGCACATTCAATATAGAAAGCATTCATGGAAAATGTTGCCTAACTACGGTCCGCATTTATCACACACCTGGATGAAGAGAGACAACAGTAGGTGAAGTGCCTTTATGTCAGAAAGAATGGGCCTGTAATCTTGTATTGACATACCGGTAATGACATTTGAAAGTAAGAGGATGAAAATCTTTCCCTGAAAGCCTCTTCTCTGAAATTTAATAAAACATTCACAACTATTTCTCTAATACATCAATTTTAAGATTCTAATCAATTAATCAAAGATATTGTTCCTTGGCACACAACATACAACACAATTCTTGTAAATCTATTCAAAACAATTCCCACTGTACCGACATAAAGTCACCTCCTTCTGCTGATATTTAGGTATTGTGATTACCGTAGAAAATGGCAAAATGGTAAATAAAATGAAGTTTGTTAAGATAAAATTACTTTCAGCCATAAACATTTAATATATTTGTGCTGTAATTGTGAGAGAGATTGAATATTAATTGAGGTCTTGGGTGGGTTTTGCCACCAACAGCACAAAAAGGGTTAATACAAGAAATCATTGCAATTCTGCTATCAAAATTGGCACTGTTCCGATGTTGTTTCATTACAAATGCAGTGTACATATCTATTTTGTGAGGACAGCCAAATTGCTGTTCTATCGGTTTTAAACACATGTTTCATTAAAATCAAATTCATTATTTATCCATCAATTTATGTATCGCAACCAAAAGGCTGGGTTTCAAATACAATTAAAAACAGAGAGATACATAATCAGACAATAGAAGAAATAATTTAGTACTTGAATATTAGTCCTTCAAATGACAAGGAATACTTCAACTGCTGGTATTGACATTATACAGCATGAAATCCTATATAAATCGTGATGATATCCAAAATTATTTCTAGTGCACAACATTTTTGACCTTGTCCAGCAAAGCCATACGATGAGATACATCTCAGAAACACACATACACACCCTCACATACAACAACAAATGGACAAATGGATGTAAATTGCGGTTAACACACAACACACACGCACACACATAGTTTGCAAGAATCTTCAGTCAATTGAAGGAGGCAGACTTAATCAGAAGAAGAAGAATAGAAGTCTAAAGCATTCTGCATGTACACACAATACCTCACAGAAAATAGGTGTTCTTCAAAGAGGGACGGATGCAAATATAATATTGGCAAAATAATAGTACATCAGAAACGCCAAGTTCAAAGATCCGCAATGCGTGACATTTTCATGATTCGGCGTGCGAGGGTATAACACACGTATAAGATATAGCGTTTCTTTTTATCTAGCGCGCGCATTGTGCGTAAGAGCGTTTTCAGGTTACTTGATTTTCTAGAAAGCAATATGAAATAGATGTACTTCAAAGAAGGACGGATCCAAATATAATATCGGCAAAAAAATAGAACATTGTACTAAATTTCAATATTCATGCGAGCATTTACACTTATTTCACCGTCCTCTCAGCTATCACAAAAAAAAATGAGATGGTAACAAAGTGATGATGTTGAATCACAGGGTCACCAAGAAATGGCAATATAAGACAACATCTATATCCACACTGAAACTGATTACATGGGAAATACTTCTTTTAAGTTAATGGAAATTAAAATGATCAAACATTTAAACTCATGAAAATCCAAATAAACTACAAAATAAATTAGGATGGGGAAAAAGGTTACAATAGGTTCAGTTTTCAAGATACACAAAACTATTCATTACAATGTCTTTGTTTATAAAAATATGAATGAATTACTATCATTATTATTTTGCCTTTATTTATATATTGCTGTGGGAACTTTCCTTTCTGTTCCATAATGGCAAGTAAAATGCAAAGCATTCCATTGCATACAGAATGATTTTGATTCTTTAAATATCTGAACAGATGAAACAACAGCAGGAGAGCTAATGTGACAAAGTGAACGAAAACAAAACAAGGGAAACGCTCTCGGCGGTCTCGCCTGCATTACGCAATTCAATATGATGAAAAATTGAGGTTGGGACATTATTCATTGGCAGGGTGGCCCCGTCACCGGAAAAGCGGCGCCTATGTTTCGCTTTTTGCTACGCAGGCGAGACAAAAACCAAGGGATACACTTAACTATTTCACATGTTGGAAAACTGGAAATTTTAAACATAATCATAATTCATGACAACGTTAAAGGACGCATGGCACTTCTATCAAAGAGACTCAAATGTAGTACAGTAACATCATCTTATCCCACTGATAGAAGAATGATCTTAATCAACAACTTAAAAAGAAGTGGTTCTTGAAAAGAAGTTTAAAAAAATCTACAATTTTCTCCTCCTGAATTGCAAGTATGTCCTTAGCAATCTATGATAGTGAGCTCCACACAAAAAAAGCCTCTTCTGTCTCAACAAGACTTGAGTAATCCACATAGATTTGACAGATCATGCGCATTATTTCTTTTGGTCCTAAATAAAAAAACTTCACTTTGGTCCCACACACTTGTTTTCATGTCCTCCAGACCGAGAAAGCTGGCTGACCCTCTGTCTGTGAGCTGGGTGCTGATGGAGTATCATCTTCAGCTAGAACGTCTCCTCCAAGTAGAGCAGACATCTGAGATGCTGGTTGTGACAAACATAATGAAAATTAAGGAATTTCATTTTTTGAAATGCCTATTTTCTATGAATTCCTACAAAATCCTTATCTTGTCTTCCAACTACACCCTAATAATTCAGCAGGGATATTAGTCTCATTATCTATGGTCATTTATTTAGCCTATAAGCCTGAACCCTCTGAAATTGTCTCAATTTAAACCTAGATGCAATCACTCTTGGCTCATTACTCAGCTTCTTTAACACTTTCTATCAAGTCTGTTTAGCTAATATCACATTATAGTGTGCCATTTCGGTTGAACAGTGTTGCGATCTAATTTTGATATCATTAGCAAACTCGAATATTGCAATGTGGTGAACCATTTCAGTGGCGTACATAAAAAAATATCTATAAATTTTGTATACTGTTTCAATCCTTTAACCTCTTTTTGAATTTCAAATGTTTAAATTTAATTTTGATTGAGGAGGCGCGATAGCTCAGTCGGTAGAACAGTGGTCTCGTAATCCGGTGACCCGGGTTCGAAACCAAGGCGATGCGCTAGTGCCCTTTGGTAAGGCATTAATCCTCATTACCAGGTCCCTCGGAGAGGACCTAAAGCCGTCGGCCGTCTAGTTGCTTACTTACAAGAATTTATGCTTTCTTACCAATCAGGTAAAATAACTACCACCACCACAATGAAATATGAAATAGGTTCATCAATTCTGAACTGAAATATCATGGATTAATTATTCTGACAAGATTTCACTTGGGATACATATTGGTGAATTAGAAGCATCAGAAGAGTTTGTATACTTACAATTGTTTCCATTTCTCTTGGCAAAGGAATCTTGTCCATTTCGCTTGGAAAAAGGATCTTGTCTGATAGCATAGGCTGATTCAGGTCTTGAGTATGATGCCTGCAAAATTAATGGATCAAATCAGGAATGTTACTTAGTCGTCTTTGAAGGATCACCCCATAAAAAAAAAAGATATCAAAAAAGTAATAATATTATTGTTATTATTATTTTTGTTATTATCATGTACTATTATTATTATGAATGAGATTTTTTTCAATAAATACTTTGAAAAAAAGAAGAAAAAGGAAGGAAAAAAACAAAAAAACAATCATAAGTTTTGTTGTTATAGTGGGCTTTTATCCTCAACTTTTTAGAGTCATATACATATAGCTTAGCACTCATCTTCTGTATTTTGAATGATAAAACCAGGAATACTGTTGTTTGTGATTGGAATAAAGAATGTTGGGTATCTTTAAAGTGCCCTTTTTCACAATAACCAGATAAATTTACTTAACAACGAAGGACTTGACTTTTGGATGCAGCACTGTTTCACCTTCTTAGATTAAATGCAACATATAAAGCAAAAATAGTTTGATTGAAAATTTCCAACAATTTTTAAAAACATTCAGAAAGGATTTCATGAACAATCTTATTACAGGATCAGAATTTTACAGGATCAGAATTTTAAAGAAAATCAAATTCCGTCTTTAACATGGTCCTGCTGATTTAATTGGTCATCATTCAATACTTCTAATTCTGCCTAAACTAAATTCATCCCTCTTGTGTGATATTTACCATTCTTATTCCTGATACTACTTTGGTTCCGCTATCGGGTCGAGATCCACTCCCAGGTCGAGCACCACTCCCAGGTCGAGCACCACTTCCAGGTCGACTATCGCTCGCTGTAATCTTTCATGAAGAGAAGAGAAAGCGCAATAGCATACATTAAAGTTTGATCTAAAATGTAGATTTGATTGTTCAGGCTCGATAATGTAATGTGATTATATTTTCAGTATTTCAGTATTTCAGTATTTTTCAGTATGTGAAAAATTGATGTATCCCAATATATGTTTCTTGGGAATGTGACATATTTAGGCTTACATCTAAAAATAATCAACAAGGAACCTTATACAATTAAAGTGACTCTGTAACATTGCCTCAGATTCTGAAACAAAATCCTGGATTTAGCTCATGCTGCAATCATAATTATAAACCTGTCAGTCAGGAATCCATTGACTTTTACAAGCCAATCGCCTGTCTGATTATCAAGATATTAATGACTGGAAATCGAAATTTGATTTGAAACAAAATCCTGGATTTAGCTCATGCTGCAATCATAATTATAAACCTGTCAGTCAGGAATCCATTGACTTTTACAAGCCAATCGCCTGTCTGATTATCAAGATATTAATGACTGGAAATCGAAATTTGATTTTTAAAATGGACAGAGCACGGTTTCTTACTACCTTTTTGATGATTCCCTTTGCAATGAGGTCTTGTTTGGATGTGCGGGGGCAGCCTAAAGCAGCAAAGTGAGCCCAGATCTTGTTTGACGCTGAAGCAAAATCTGTCGGTGTTCTGTCGGATCAAAGGTATCAAGAAGTATTTAGTGGAGCAGAATATGGAATTCATGATAAGCATATTGATGGCTTATCATGACAAATATCTGTGATATTGTACATCAGCTCCACCCCCCTCGATACGTAACAACAAGGAAATTAGGGACCTGGGGGGTGTTTCACAAAGATTCTAAGTTAAACTTATCTCTAAGTTGGACTTAAAAATTATGGAAAGCCATTAGCATCTTTGAAAATATTTTGTAAAAGTTATTTTGAAAGGCATAAAATGTTGATTCAAATCATTCATATTTTCTATCATCAAGGAGACTTCATGTTCTGGATGTGGAATTTATAAAAAGTCTAAAATAATTTCTGCTTTTGAATATATTTCATTTTAAGACTCCAATGGCTGTCCATAATTTTTAAGTCCAACTTAGAGTTAAGTTCTACTTAGGATCTTTGTGAAACACCCCCCTGTTATCAATAACATCTTTTGGTTTATATGTCATTCTTCTTGATAAGTGGAATAACAAAAGGGCTATTCACATACAGACATGACACTTTGATATTTTACTGTCTGTATTCAACTGAATGTATAATAACATTTAGAGGAGTTATGCACATATACATTGATAAAATGTACAATTCTCTTTAAATTGAAAGGATGTGCAATTAAGGAGAAAAAAAAGAAGAAAAAAAAGAAAGACAGAAGAATCTTACCTTCCTTCCATATCAGGCAACTCTGGTTGAGCTCCATTCTTTAGTAATAACATTACAACCTACATGGATAAAAGCAGAGAGAGAAAGTAGATAATGAGAGAGAGAGAGAGAGAGAGAGAGAGAGGTGAAGAGAAGGTAAAAATAAAATAAAAATATATTATATTATGGTAAGAGGAAAGATTTGAAAAAAACAAGGGGAAAAAAAGGAAAAGGAATTACAAGATTTATGTGAGTGACAAAAGGAAAATAGGATTTAACCAAAGAACAAAACAAAAGTACAGAATTAATAATGAATAAGTTGTAAGTGGATTATTAAAAGCAACATAAAACATATTAATAAAAACACCCAAGACAAGAAGGTAATGAAAAAATCTTACAGTTATGCTTGACTGTATTAAAATTTAAAAAATCATTATATAGATCATTTATGTATCTTCAATTCTTCAGGGAATGTACATCATGAATGCCTACTCCAGTGAAGGCTATATAAAAATCATACATTTGAACTTTGGAAGTGATGCCAGGAAAATTGAAAAATGTTTAAATATTATTAAAGTAAATACTTTTCCATGTTCTTGGAATGTGGCAGCATGAAGGGGAGTCCACAGTGTGCTCTTGTTCTGATAATTGATGTCAGATCCTGCTTCTAATAACCCTTTGATGACATCATGAAAACCCCAAAAAGCAGCTACACATTGAAACAAATAAATGAACAAGGTTGAAATATGGTTGCGACTTCTAATTCTAAAATGTAAATAGCACAAAATGAGCAGTAAGATAACATATATTCCCAAGAAGAAAAAAAAAGGAAAAAAAAGTAAGCCCAAAATGACCAATATTAAGTTGTTAAGACTCTTGTTTGTACATTTTGTTTCTTATGTTTATTGTCTTTTCATTAACTAAGAAACAGAAAACATCCAAGCACTTGTGAATTATTTTCCCACCTTCTCATCCATTTTCATCCAAAGTGACAGAGGAGGCAAAGATATTGAATTTACTTTACAACAATCAATGAAAATATACAACAGTATCTTACCAATGTAAATTTGACTCTGTAAAACTTCTCCTGTTTCTCCCTTCACCTCAACGCTCTCGGAAAGGAACTTTTCAACCAACTAAGCAAAGAAGAAATGAGAAGAAGAAATGAGAAGAGGAATTGTTTTAAATGAGTAAATACAATAAAAAAACTAGATCTATATCAAATGCTCATAAAGCAATATGAAGCACTAAATGGATAATCTTAGAATAGATACAACACAAAATTATTCTGGCGTTTTGGGAATACATTGATAAAAGCAATCTTAAATATGAAAATTAATCTCCTGACAAATTTCTGTTCTTTGAGAAACTTCTCATCTTTAGAACAGCATCTAAATTTATATTATTACCCATCATGTCTTGAGTCATCATATTATTGAATTGATTTGCAAATCAATATTTTTAAGAACATAATTGAAGTTAACAAACAATACTAAACAAAGCAGATTCCCCCTCACAAGCTTATTTCTGCCAATCTCCTTTATAATTTGACATTAATTTGTACTTCGACTTGGAAATTTAGAAAAGGTAAAACAAACAAAAGTTGAAAAAAATTAATAACACCAACAAATAAAACCAATTTTCTATCTTGACTTTACTTAATTTTACTTAGTTTTTTTTTCTTCAATTGTTCAAAGTTCAATCATAAAAAAATGACTCCCTTTGGCTTTGGCTTTGAAGTTTGACGCAAATTACCACTGAATGAACTTGTCTGACTTTTTTTGGCATCATTTTAAAATTGGTTTGAAAGACCTATCTGTATCACATGATTCCGTTAGTTCAATTGAAGGGGTCTTTTTCGAGGACTTTAGAGCTGATATCCAGAGCCTGTTGCCCGTCGTCCTGCAAGGTACATGTACGTGTACGCCCACGATTCGGCGACGGTTCCTCTGCCGAAGTGACAGTGTGCCTACCCGAGAAGAATCCCTGCGGCTTGCAATGACCGTAGCTCCTGGAGCTGGAGGCTGTGGCGACAAGTGACAAGGATCTGTACCTGCAATGATATTCGAAATACACCTTAATTATCCTTCAATTTTACCTGTTCTTCTCCCTTCTGTGCCAATGTTGACAAGTCTGGTAGATTAATGTGAGCTGTGCGCAATTGGTTCTGCAGATCTCGCATTATACCATCAGTTGATGCCTTCTTGGTTACGCCTTTGGCGTCCGTGGATGTCGCCATCTTCGTGCCGTATTTATCGTATGCGCGCTTACCTTTTTACCGTGATTCAGGCGTTTCGTGTATCGAATCCTCATCACGGTTACAGGGTTGCTGTTACATGATACGGAGGAGATGGAGAGTTATGAGAAGCCAATAGGCCAATTTAGAGTATGCCAATTAATTAATTAATTTGGAAACTGAAAATAGATCGTATAGAATTACATGTACATGTAGATGAAGAAAATCGTTGGTGCCTTTCAAGGCAACAATAATTAGAGGGCTTCGCTATAATTTTTTTGAAGGAGAGGGGTGCACGTGAAATGTCTCTTGTTCCCACAAGAAAAAGGATAATGATGATGATGATGATGGTATAAGAATAATAATAAGTCGATAATAATAATGATACCATGATAATTATTAATATGATAGTGATTATAATACTAATAATACATGTACAAATCATAATAATAACACCCCTACCCCGATATGCCGACAGACAGTACCCAGTCCTGTATCATAGTTGCAAAGGGGGAAGGGGGCAAACGTATATACGGCCGCCCAATATGGGTATAATTTGACCTAATCTGTCCCATAACGGACGAACCTGCATGTATAATTTTTTCAGTTTATGGATCTCATTTTGACAATATTGCAATATAATAATTTCCTCTCTATATTGTTTTAGACTATGTTTACTCTCAATAATTGGTTCAATATTTCAAGTTACTTTTATAGTTGTTCATCCGTCTACTTTTATTTAGCAAAATATGTATATAGCTTGAGTAGTAAGTGAACAATTATGTTAACTTTATTTTGTTATCATTTTTATTGTACATGTGTATGATCATTCCTGTTTTTATGCACATTTTATGTAAACATTGCATTATTGGTCCTCGGACTACTGCATTGTACATTTTATGTGTTGATATTAATAAACCGAAATTGAATTGAAACCAATGACGATATTACAGGGTCAGATTGGGAGGCTCTATAGTAAGGAAGGCAAGAAATTCGAAACTGATTTTATGCTCAAAGTAGACATTCTTGTAAATTGTGTTTTCCCCATGTATAGGCTCCTTCATCTAGCTTTCACATATTTTGTATTTTGATTCTTGTTTAAACTTTTTGTTTGCCCCATATCATGAGCTGCGTTAATCAATAAACAATAACACAGTTGGCTCTCGGGGACATATCCGGCCCGTGCCCCACCATTTTTATTCCAATCGTATATTTTACTTTCTTTTCTTTTATCTTATTACGTATTCATTTATGTTTGCTTGTCAGAGATTTTCGGGAATATTATTACCACCTTGTATTAAAGGATCCAACCCTCTATAGAAGGCCTGCTCATTAAAAGCCAAGAATTTTGCATTTTTAAATATGACTGCGTGATTAACATAAAAACCCGAGGGTATGCTGGGTGGATCCGCTCCCATAAGAGCCAGAAGAGCGTTAAAAAAATGAACACCCTATGCTCCAACCAGACGGTTTCATTCATAGGCTGCCCTCCTAGGGGGAGGGGGGGCACCCGAAAAGTGCCCCTTTTACATAGGAAAAGTGCCCCTTTAACTTTGTAAGAAGTCCCCCTTTTTACATAGAAATAGTGCCCCTTTTACTTTGAAAAGTGCCCCTATTAATTTGTAAAAGTGCCTCTTCCCCTTTCCAACTCTGATAAGTGCCCCTTTTATTTGGACACGTGCCCCTTTTACTTTGCAATACGTGTCCATTTTCCATTCTAATAAGTGCCCTTTCAATCTCTAGTAAGTGCCCCTTTTAAGGTACGAGAAGTGCCTCTTTTCACTCGTGATTAGTGCTCCCTTCATCTCTGATAATTGCCCTATTCAAATCTGAGAGATGCCTATTTTACTTTGACAAGTGCCCCTTTTCCTTTGTAATAAGTACCCCTTCTTCTTTTAATAACTACACCCATTTTAACTCGGATAAGCGCACCTTAAATTTTCACATGTACCCCTTTTCCTTTCTAATAACTTCCCCTTATACTAATGATAAGTGCCCCATTAAAAAAGAGCCCCTTACCCTTCTCATAAGTGCCCCTTCTCTGGTAAACAACCCTTTTTAGGTACGAGAAGTTACTCCTGCTCACTTCAGATAAGTGCCCCCTTAACCTCCGAAAATGCCCCTTTAAAATCTGATCGGTGCCCATTTTCTTTCAACAAATGCACATTTTCCTTTATTATAAGTGCCCTTTTTTCATTCACATAAGTGCCCCTTTTCATATCTGGTCATTGCCCCTTTTCAGGTGCGATAAGTGTCTCTTTTCACTGATAATTTCCCTTTTAACAATGATACGTGCCCCTTTTCCTTTCTAACAAGGGACCTATCCCCTTTTTACAAATGCCTCTTTTCACCTCCTATAAATGCCCCTATCAAAATCTGATGGGGGCCCCTTTTCCGTCGACACATGCTCCTCTTCTTTTCTGATAAGTGTCCCCTTTCCTCTCAATAAACGCGCCCGAATTTCAAGCGACTAAGAGCAATTTCTCCCAAAGTTCGCTCGCTTCGTTTGCACGCATTCTATAGATGATATACTTATGTTATTTTTTTCGCACTGCGATCTCACAAATATTAAAAAAATTCCTTGCTCGATTCGCTCGCTCGCAAATAATTTTTCAGACCATCACGCCCAACTGCAAAGCATGATGCTTAAGCAATATCTTGTATGGTGTATAAAATGAAACAAATATTGAAATTATCCCTGATAATGTAATCACAATGTCTAAGCGATTGTATATTTTCGCTTTGAGATTTTCCTTTGTAGGTGCCCTTTTTTCTTGGTGGCCCCCTTCACTTTAGAATTCGCTCGGCCCTGGTTTCATTTGAGTTTTGTTGTTGTTTTTAATACTTCCTTTGGCGGGACATTAATCTACAATAGCCACACTCCACCCAGGTGAGGTAAATGGCTACCCGGTAGCCGTGCTAATTAAAGCCACGGTAATAATGAAGGGCGCAAGGAGTGGCAATGTGCCAGACATGAATGCTATTTATACAAGACCCCAATGTGATTGTTATTACTTTTAATTTGTATTATTATTATTATTATTATTATTATTGTTATTATTATTTTCGATTTTCTAATTTCGCCCCCCCTCCCCTATTTGAAAATCCTGGATCCGCCACTGACAGTGCCTCCGAGTGGATTGACTCACACTACACTACTGGGCCTATACTTACATTTCATGAAACATTATCGTCATGGTTGAATCCTCCAAACAAAAAAAGTCACTACAAATGAACATAGTCCAATGATCCCTTTATATTACCCAACTTAATTTTGACCCCCTCCCCCCGAAAAGCGAATCAAGACACTTACTGAAAATCCGCTGGTCCTTTTGTTTACACTTCATGTTGGACTAATCAAGCACGAAAATAAAGAAAACTCAAGCAATCAAACTGCCTTGGGATTCTGTTAAAATCAAAACAACTTTTCTAACAATTTTTTTTGATACTCCACTCAACATCCTCATTACCAATTCTCTATTTTATTTTCAAAAGGCGTATCCCGGATCAGATTAATTAGGCATTCAACTGATAGAGTCCAATCCACGATATCGACTTTTGTCATTTTCGGCTGAGGTTAAGAGTGATTCCAAAGAACACTTTATATCTAATTTGTCTTAGGTAGTTACACGAAATAATGGAATGAATTACCCCGGATGAAGAACTGGATTATATACCTGTAGGCCTACGGTATATAAAAACAAAATCATGAGGTATCTTACTTTATTAGTTTCATGCTTGTGAGCGGTTTGGGAAAGATCCATTTTAGCTTTCCATACTCTTCAGTCGATCATGACAACATCATTGGCCGCATAATAAAAACACAAATCACCGTGAAAATTGAAACACACGAGTCGAAGCATCAGTTTGGAAAGGGCTCATGAATCTGGACTTGATCATGACACTGTGAATGTGAATGCTTGGTGCGATACTGAATCATCGTAGGGAGATATTACCTCGAATTTGACATTACTACAAATTTGGATTACATAGGAAAGGAATTCTACTCTGACGGTGTTAATAACTGACTGATTAATTATGCCAGTGAATAAAGGGAAACCTACCCCCGATGGAGGGAGTCGAGACGCCAAACCCGGGGCGCTAGGCGCCGGTGCAGGCGGGATGAAGGTGTCTCATATTGCCGAATTTGAATCTCTGTTCACAATTGAAAAGGAACTTGGCAAGTGAGTTTGACCACAGATTTGTTTTCTTCTCTTTACTGTCAGAAATGGAACTTTGCTGTTTTAAATGAAAGGAGGCAGATTATTTAATTAGACAACTGCCTAGATCTAGATAGTCTAATAATAATATTAATAAATATTTGTTTTCCCTTCAAATTAACGTGGTTAAGGCAGCCAATTATTACTAAAATGTCAATGACATATCATGAGTGATAAGATTTTAAGTAAGTTGCTCTATAGACTAGTAATACTAGACTTAAACGGTTCACTTACTTAACACTTTCATTACAGTTTCAAGTGTGAAAGCATAACTTTTTACTATCAATAGATCTAGCTAGTATTAGATTGATTTTAAGTCTGTGAATGTTTGACTTTAAATTCTAATTATCAAAATCATTCAAATGGCAGAGCTTTTTTAAACACTTGATCAGACAAATAAGAGGAGATGGTTTTATTAAGTTTAGAAACCCAACTAAAATAAAAGTAAGTAATTTAGATATAGAAAATGAGTCATTCAGTCTTTCCTACCTGAAAATATGTTTCCCCATTCGTTTAATGTAGACTAGATGTAGTTATGCATTATAATGTGTACATTATAATGTTTAAAGGCCTCGTTAGGCCCATTTTAGAATACGGACAAGCCGCATGGCCCATACAGATTAGGAGAACAGAGGATGTTGGAAAGCGTACAAAGACGTGCAACAAAGATTATTCCTGGCCTTAGAAATTTGTCATACCAGGCCAGGAGCGCTTGACCAAACTCAAACTACCAACTCTTGTTCATACTAGGCATAGAAGGGGGGACATGATCGATGTGTATAAGTACGTGAATAGCTTGTACACTGTGCAAGAGATTCCCTTCAAGATGAGTACAGAAGATAGAACTCGAGGTCACTCCAGAAAACTTGAAAAGAAATATTCAAGGCTAGATATAAGAAAATACTTTTTTAGCAATAGAGTGGTGGAACTGTGGAATGGTCTCCCAGAAAACGTTGTGGCAGCTGGGTCGGTAAACTCATTTAAGAATAGAATTGATAGTCACTGGTCAAGGAATGTAAGCCTTTTGTATGAGCCAGTCTAGGTGTTGTCTAAATTGTCTCATGTTAATTACACAACCTCCTCCCTCCACAAATAGCAGTAACCATGGAAGAATCCTGGATCGATGAACAGGCTTAGACCTACAACATCGTGTATTAAAGTAAAAGTAAAGTAAAGTAAGATAGGAATGAAGTTGAAGTTTTATGATTGGTGACAAGATTTTCTTTTTCTGAGTCTGATTCATACTTGTAATACCTGACTTTACCCATTGATATGAAAAAAGTGTTAAGGGCTTCACTGGCTTGTATCAAAATGCAATCTTGCATTACACTAGAAATGCAAATATTTATTTACAGTTGACATCTGAATTATTCATGACCCTAGTAAATTTGATGTTATTTATTTATGGTGTTTTTCGTAACTCAAGAATGAAAGATGGACTGGTTGAATTAAGAGCCTTTGTTGAATACTTCTAGATGTAAGCTATGATATATATCATATTCTCAAGAAACATAAAATCTTGAAAAATCAATTTTCACATACTTAAAGGATAATAAATCTTGGTAAGGGTATTGAATAATTTAGTTGTCAACTTTCCATGGCTGAGTGAGAAACCAAGTTTTTTGTTTAAAAAAAAAAAAATTATACCAAAATTAATATCAAGGAAAATAAAAGTTTCAATACTTATTAAGCTCTCAATTCCAATATACATGTACTTGGTAACGTATGGGACAGATAGAGACCAAATATTCTGGATTTCCCATTATTAGGAATTTGTAAATTAATACATGTACAGTGCACATCATTTATGACATTTGGCAAATTTAAGGATGTCCACTTGTCCAGTGAAACCTTTATTAAGTGACAACCTCTCTACATGTATAAAGGCCACCTGTGTACAGTGATCATCCATATATTGCCTACAGTGTGGCTCTTGAAGGAAATGTTTGTTGTAGAACCTGTCTCAAAAATCCACCTGTCTACAGTTGTCACTTCTTGAGTTTCCTGCAGGTCAAGGTGGCCTTAATTGACAGGCTTGACTACTATTTTTTCTATGCATTTCGCGTTACCGTACATCTAACAATTTAGTTAAAATTATATCCAATCAGCTAATATCAAGTTCATAGGCCTACAAAAGCATCTTATAAAGTGAATTCATACCTGAACATAATGTACACATGTACATGCCTTGACGTTTTTACACATCAAAATATTTGTGGGCTTTCCCGTTTAGTTTATAACTTAGCCTGCCAATGGAAATGTATTAAAGTACATGTAGCTTGTAAGTTTTGAAGATGGAACAAGAAGAACAAACATAAAATGGGAATATACTATCATCATCTATTTTCTTTTCAGGGGAGCTACTTCAGTTGTGCATAAATGTTTTGAAAAAGGAACAAATAGACCATTTGCAGTCAAGAAAGTCAAGAAAACTGTAAGTATACAATGTATGTCATTTTAATTCTTTTAAATTAAGAGAACAATACAAAATCTGCAGTTGGTTAATCATGAGTATCAATTGAATTACAGATATTTTGTAACCCATTTTTATATTTTATTTTTGTATGTAGTTTGCAAAGACAGTATCATTCATGTTCATTGCAATGTGAAATTTGATATTGATTATTTGGCAACATTTCAATGGAGATAAATATGAAGTTAAACAAGTAGGGAAAGTACTAAATGTACATGTAATAAGTATCACATTGAAACAGAGAGTAGAGCTTAATGTCTTATTTCCTGTCTAAATTGTCTTGATTGTCAAATATCAATACCAACAAGTAAGTAATGTTAATACTTCTCAATGATTAGTGATGACTAATTAGCTTCAGGGCAGGTTTCATCCAGAATTCTAACTGTTTTCATTTACATAAGGCCAGGGAATTCTTACAGTGTTCACGTCTTTACTCACTTTCTCTTTTTTGTCTGTATATTAAAACAAATATCTTCTCTTCTCTTCTCCTGCAGAAAAACAAAGAATCATTATATTTTGACTTGAGTTTGGAAATGGGCCTAGTTTCAGTTTCATTTTCATATTAGTTTATTCCACTCAAAAGCAAACATAGTTTACTGTTTTCATTTTGTAGAATCGTTGCTCTTCTTGTTTTTATGATGTACTGTACATACATGTACATACATTAAAAGAAAAAAATTGTGAACAGTGACAACCATTTAGTGTAGATATTGATGAATAATTTTTGACTGACTCATTGGTTTAAGCCACTCTTGAGTGCATCATGTACATGGCCTTTCCTATTGTATGTAGAGATTTACCTTGTGTTATTACAACCAGCTGACAGAACGATTTTGTTTTTTGTGTATAAATTATATTGTGGGCTCTTTTTTCATGCATGAGCAATGGCTTTTTGAAAGAGCCTCCAGGGCAAACTGCCCTCATTTCCCATTTATTTATTTACGTTTTAAATTTCTTTTTGCTGATCAATGTAATAATGTAATAATGTAATAATTTACTAATATTGAACTCATTCATTTCATTTTCTTCCTTCCAGGCTGACATGAAAGTCTTCACAACGGAAGTCAGTGTATTGCAGAGTATAAACCATCCGCACATTGTAAGTTTGCCTTCTATTTTCTCTCTCTCTCTCTCTCTCTCTCCTTAATTTGTTTTCCTTACATGTATTTACAGTGACCAGCGAGCATGCTTCTTTCATGCACGTTTTATTTGATTGTGTCAATATTGAACAGTTAAACATACAAGTATAGAAACTGTAGTCTAAAGTCAACAGAGGTCTTGCTGAACTTTTTATTTGGTTTGTTAATAGCTGGCAGGCAACCATGGCAATTCTTCAACTTTGGTTATGAACAGGTTATTGTGCAACATGTACATTCACATACAGTGTACATTCACTTATAATGAAAACAACATTTTTGGTGTAGATTTTTAGCTTCTATGATGTATCAGTTGTTGCTATTGTCACACAGGCCACCAAGGGTGATCTGTTAGCCCATTAACACAAAAGGGGGCCATGCACAAACAACTTGATAACTGCTTATTATGAACCTTTTACATTTATCTGTATAAATGCTACTCCACGTTAACTTTCATAGATTAAATATCTGTGACTACGTCACAATCCACTGACCATCGACTTTAATAGGGATCTCATATTTCAAACATTCATAACGTTCCTATTATTGGTCCAACATATTTCAAACTTTCGCCAAATTTCTATATATGTTATTATTCTGCTTTCATACAAATACAATTACTACAAGGGTTGAATTGCCCTGTAACTACAACTTTGGACCAAATTCTATACCTTATCTTTAAACCCTAAACCTACATGTATAACATGAAGACCCTTATTTGTCACAGCACTACTCATGAATCTATGTTGAGCCCTGATTTACAGTGCTCATTCAAATGTTTTGGCACCACACATACATGTACAGTGAACATGTATAAATATTATTAACAGTGGGAGGGAGTGTGGAATTATTTATGAGAAGATTCTGTATACCGGTACATGTAGGTCAACTCCATGGTTAGATAATCTTGCATCATAACAGGAAGTGTGTGTGAGGTGTAAGAACTCAATCTAAAGTAATTTGATTTGAGGCTGCCCTAGCTAGCTAGCTTCCATCTGAAATTCAATGGCCCGGCCATCAAGGATATCCTGCATATTGAAAGGGATCTGTTCACATTGAATCAAGTAATGCTTTTGTTGTTTAACCCTCTTACTGTGAGTCAGTGCAAAGTCCAGGAAAAATGCTCAATGACTTGAATGAACGAATCAGTGGAAATGCTTTTGTTTATTTTAAACCTCTGGTAAAATGCACTGAAACTTCAAACCAAAACAGAAGACCTGTGTTCATACAAAATTTGTCTGTCTGATTTTTTGTGTGTTTTGTGATTGAATCTGGAAAAAGGTTACATGAAAAGCAAAGGCATCTTGATTGTACATTGTAACACCAAAGAAAAAAAGATTGTCAGTTTTGGCATAATCATTAAAGCACTCATTCCATACATTGATAAATGAACATGAAAGATAGAAATCAAAACCAGGACAAGACATGCTTTACATCAAGTTACATGATCACTGTAATTGTAAAGTACTGTAGTAATCCTAATGAGGAGTGAATTCTGCTTCTGACATTCCATTTTGTCCTATATAGAGCGGATCAAGCAAGTAAGCAACATGAAGATGAAAATCAAATTCAAACACCTCTGCACATACAGTACATGCAGGCCTATTGCAAACAACTACATGTACATTGTACATCATGTAGACTAGATGTTTTTGAATCACATTAAACTTGAGTTTTGTGATTCAATTCACAAAAACATAATTTGAAAAAAGAAGAAATTCTATGACCAAGTTCTTCTACATAGAAAAAGTGGCATTGCTTTGTATGTCCGGAACAGTCAGAAATATCTTAAATTTGTGGATTTCTTTATAATCAAATAATCTATGTGGGGGGAAATATGCTGACACACCCTTTACACCACAAAGACCTATCTAACCGCCCACACCACGCCGTCTTCTATTATAATGAAATAGTAGAATCGAGCTCCGAGTGAAATCAGGTTTTTGTATTGGTCCGCTAGCTATGACTTCCACTCGGGGGAGGGGTTAGTTCAAATAAACCACCGAATAAAATAAAGACAAAGAATAAGAGCGCTGGGACACGATATAGTATTTAAGGTGTCATATATGTTTATTTACCAATCACTGACCTGTATCAACTATTCTTCTAACAGTATTTATTATCAAACAATGTCATGAAAATAGTAACAATAATCCAGAAGATCTCTGTCTTCTCTTCAACATATATCAATATCAAAATACACCTTAAGCTAAAATATACTTTAAAAGCCTTAACTTGTTAATCTAAATAAATGGGACATTAAGGGTTGGGAAGAGGGAGGTTAGTTAGAAATTGTTAGTACTGTGGCCACTTACATACAGCGCGGTAGACTATTCGCGATTCGAGTGGATGTACCGATTCAGCCGTGTACGAACGAGATGAAGAGATGGACAACGATGCTACGGGTATGGGAACAGGAAAGATGACGATGTCGAAGACGGGAACGGAATCGGGAACGCAGTTGCGGGATCAGGACGACAGGATCAAATTCAGGAACTCAGGATCAAAATCAGGAACACAGCATCGAATTGGTATAGGGTTAATGGTACCTATTTGCCGACGTATCTGCAATCAATGTTCCTCCTATCAATGTTCCTCCTTATCAATCAGTTCCTGACACTTTCAGATTAAGTTCCCTTGAAGTATGTTGTATAATTTAGTTGAATCTTCCCGACTTGGTGATTGAAGTGACTTGGCTTTCTTGAACGATTCTGGAACAACGCTGTACTTCGATAACCTTGTGAGTCCAGAACTTGTTGATTTTCACATGCAGCAATTAGTTGTTAGTGCAGGGACAGCTTGAGGGAGATGGGAGGACAGGGGTACAGGTAGAGGAGACCAAGTCGGGGTGGAGCCAAGTGATCAAAACATTCATGCAAACTACTTTTATACCTCATTAAACATTCATACTCGACTTTTCCTCCGATCATCTTATTGGTCATTACTTTAAAAAGGGGGAAGGGGTCTAATCTAAAACTCTACTCTTATTGGTTCAAGGTCACCACTCATGGCCAAAGACACAGTCCTATGAGGTGTTCTTCAAAGAGCATATTTCTAAGAATAGTCACAAAGCATGAATGACCACAAAGAGCCCGTCTGATATCTAAATCCCCTTTCATAGAGCTTAATCTCTATTATTACAGATTTATGAATGGCATTAAAGTCTAGTATTGTATCGAACAGGATGGATTAATACTGTGAATGGCAATAGGGTCATAAAGGCTATATCCCAGTGTGGGAACAGGATAGCTTCAATAGATAGCTTCAACTAGACATGCCAGCACATTTTATAAATACATCTATAACAAATTAAGACAAAGAAAGATACAGCAGAAAGGGACAAAGATAAAGATAGAGAGAGAGAGAGAGAGAGAGAGAGAGAGAGAGAAAGAGAGAGAAAGAGAGAGAAAGAGAGAGAGAGAGAATACAACAAGAAGAGAGAAGGACTACATGAGCAATATTCCACCATGTTACACCTATATTTGTCAAAAGACATGAATGCTACAGGAGAATTGAGTTGGAGTTTGTTGTCGTCTGGGCTTGAGACATAGTCTAGTCTGATGTTAGAACTTCATAGGGGGTGTAGAAATGCTGCAAAATCTGTATAACCATGGACCTACTCTGAGTAGCTCCATGGTCTAACACTAGTGGCTTAAGAATTGTGAATTGGAGAAGATTTGCTTCTATTAAAAGGGAAAATTGTCCATGAATGTTGTAAAATTATCCCCCAAATGAGATAGAATGGTTGAGCATGAAAGGCCTGACCACTTTTACAGTTAAACTAAATAATCCTTTCTTTTTGCATACGATGAAGTTCTAGCAAGCTCTGTACAGACGAACACCTGTTTTAAGTTCCTTGTACACTGTACAGTACGAATGTGATATGCTACGTGTCTGCACTTTTTCTTTCTCTGAGCATTTGCCAATTTTCCAGAGCTAAATTATTTTGTGCTCTATTGTACCTTTTCCTGTCTGAAATGCTCCAATTATTGATTGATTGACGCATAAATTTGCCTCTTCACTATAATTTAAACTAAGCAAAATATGTGAATCCTTTTGCCACCGAGTTACGCAGTGTGTAGTTCATTTTGTTTTACCGTATCTCCTTTTCATGATATAATACGTGTTTGACTGGAAACATTGACTCAAGGATCTCCTCAACGGGTTCAGACAATACAAGAGAAAGCACTTGTCATGCTACTTGAAACAGTACATTGCATACTTGAATAACATGTATTGTATCAAAAGGGAGATGTACAATCTAAGAATCTCTTAGAGGAGTAGAATAATTATTAGAAAAACCAAGATTTCAAAGAAATGTGTGTGAGCCTGACACATTTTCTTTATTTGATGAAAGTGCATGATGTACATGAATGTACATTTTATGTTTTAATGGTTTAATTTGAAACCCTATGTTGTTTTGTTTTTCCTCCTTTTTGTATGGGTTTAGGATATGCTTTAAAGGTAAAGACCAGTATTGGAAATGCCACAATTTCAAAAAATGAAATGGAAGCTCTTATTAGCAATCATGAAGATAGTAAATCATTTCTGTTTGATTAATTTGACATATTTATACAAGAAATAAATAAATCAATTAGGAGTCCCTAGCAAGTACCTTGCAGACTCTTTTCCCTGATTAGTTAATTGAAATGTATGGCTTTCTCCTTTCCATTTGAAAAATGACCTGACAAGAAACTGGGAGTTTTACTCAGCATTGTACTTTTGTATTGTACATATATAGTACTAATCCATTTAAAAGCAGACATCAGTACTTGCACGTACATACACTTGGTTGTGTGTATTAATAAGTGCATAAGATATGAAACTAGCAGTCATATACCCTCTCTAGTCAACGCAGCCCCACTGAACAAGCCCTATAGGAGGCAGTGATCCATGGACAATTACGGCACTCCTTCACTTTATTTTCAAATGCCATCTACATCTACATGTACATTACAGTATA